TTCTAGAGTCTGTATACAGCTCAAGGTTACGATGAATAGGGAATGTACAGGATAAGGGTTTCCAGTGTCAGGAGGATGCGCATCGGCAAACCAGAGAGTTTTACAGTCGCTCGGCTGCACAGGAGCCAGACGCCTTTCCAATCGCAAAGCCCCACCCCAAATCTCACACCCTAAACATCCCAAAAGCCCTCCCTAAACCTGCTAATCCCTAAACCCAGAAGTTCGAGACTCACAGGTACACCGCAAAGGAGACCGAGCCCTAAACACCCCTAAGCCGAATTTTTCAAGAGGTGCAAGTGTGGCAACTAGCTGATGCGACAAATCCATATACTGTAGACACTTTAGACATAAGTGGGAGAGGTGGAGGGTGGGGGTAGGAGCGTGGTTCTGCAAAACTGCATCGGATCACAGTCCAAAAAACCCTGAGCGCGCAGGGCGTAAAGGGCTTCATGCGCCCCAGAACGTCATTTGCAGAAGGCAAAAGCTTCATCGAATAGAGCAGAACCCAAAAAACCCCTAATTCTTGAGCCTCAAACTTCGAGCCTTTGATCATGGATTGCGAGCCAAAGCACGCAGAACCCGACCTTTGGGCAAGGAGAGCTGCAGTACCTGCAGCTCGAACCGCATGAGCAGAAGAACGGCTGGACGGCGAAGCCCGGCAGAGACCGGAGATTAGGGGTTTGGTTTTCAGTGACTGTGTGGGCTTCATTTAGGCCGTAAGGTTTCGGGTTGAGTACGGACCGGCTGGGGCACCAGATGACCGGCGTTTTCTTCAAGGGATCGAGGCAAGAGATATTGCAGCACCGGAGCTGCCGGCCGAGGCATGATGTATCTCAGGGCGTTAGGTTTCTAGACCAGAGGATCAAGGGCACAGCCGGCACCCCGGCCTGCACGGACTACCTAAGAGTGTATGAGCCCTCAGTAGCATCGTCTACCGTCCGACTCAGCCAGCTCAACTGTCTTGGGTATTGCTGTGAGCCTGTATCTGCCACTTAGCCAAGAATGAGTCGGGCCCTCCGTCTGTAGTGATTTCTTCCGCTGTGACACGAGGTACTGGCGCCGAGGCAGCCTCTTGGCATCCTCTTGGCCATTATTAAAAGATTGCAGAATACAAAGCCTTCAACCGCTCTTCATGAAAATCTCCGCTGTTATTTGCGAGTGGGGCAGTATGCCGATCTTTTTCCCAACAGATTCAGGGTTCAGCTTCACTAGGTCCCTGCATGAATCTCATGAACTGAGCTGTGGATGCTCCATGAGCCCCTGGCTTAGGTCGAGTAAGGCACGCTACCAGTAGAAGAATAGTTCCTTACTGGCCATGGTGTTGCCATGAGCTCACCTTTTATATAGGACTTCCCCCACAGACCAACAGGTGCTAATTGCCTTTCTGCTGTGGGCTGACATTTCAGGAAGCAATGGAGGTTTCCTTCACCTGTAGGAAATTCAGACTTCGGATCTGCGGTTGCGAGCTTCGGGGCTCATAGATTCGGCAGGTGCAAAGAGGCGCCAGGCCCCAACAGTGAATCCCAAGTCCGAGTCGTGAAGCCTTCAGACCTCGGAGATCAGCTTAGGCTTGTCCGAGTACGAGCTTCCCCGCCTCTTCCACAAATGGAAGGTTGAGGTGCTGACGCAGCAGCACCAGAGGTGAACGTGCCCCCCTGCTTGCGGAGGCTACAGGAACCTCACCCCGAAACTTGGCCCTAAGCCTTTGAGACTGAGACCAGTGTTCTGTCAAGAGATTCTCACGCATTCCCGTCATGTACAGAATACTCAGCCTAAGCACTGAACGGTTGTAGTCCTCCACCCTAAGCCCCGCCACCCGTGATGGTAAAACTCAAGCCCGTCACCAGCCATGTAAGACTGCAAGCCCTATGCCGACATGCTTACATCCGACACCCCAAAAGGCCCATATCTGTTGATCGACCCCGGAATGGCTCTGGCGGCACGTGGGGGCCGTAGGCGCGGAAATCGGCGCGTGCCGCGATGTTCACGCCGCGCCCCGACATCCAGTGAAAAAGAAAAAGCTTGGGAATGGCCAGATGTAGCGGTTTTAGGTAGCGGATCGAAGAACCGGAGTATACCGGAGTATTATTAAGCCTCAAGCTGCTAGCTAGCCGTAGCATCTGATTCCCCGGTACTGTGCTCGCCCGCTTCATGCAGCCATGGATGCGGTAGCCCCCATGTAGCCAGCAATGGTGGCTAAGGAAACCAAGCATCTTTTTGTGAGTACTCCAGTTGGTATTGGTGACGCCCCAAACTTGGGTTGAGTGGGCAGGCAGTACCATTCCGAGTTGGCGGCCGCCAGAGGCTCAAACGACCAGCATCACGGTTTTCGTTGTGTTGTGTGTTTGTCGGGCTTGTTTATTTGGATCGTTTCAGGTCGGTAGTTGGTCCAGCCCCCCCCCCCCCCCCCCCCCCCCCCCCCCAATACTTTCTTCGTAGTCCTTCTTCAAAGGTTCCCATGCAAACCCTGGTCTGATCTGGGACCTACACAAAGATGCAAAGAAATTGAGAAGCATAAAACTGAAGCAATTCGCTCACTTGCTGGGCCATGTACCAGAACCCCCCGAGTACTCCAAGTTCGTCGACGAATACATTCGCCGAGGGAGCTGTAGTGGGGGGCGGCTGTGGGTCGAAACCGAGCAAGGGAAGTCGAAGGTGCAACTCGTGATGAAAATGAAGTTCAAAATTTTCCGAAACGTGGGTGGACCTGCGCAACAATCCGGCAACGTTATTTTCAGTGCGGCTTTCTCAAGTTGTGGACAAAAGGGAACACGTGAGCACTGGCAGCGTGCATGCTTCAGGCGTGCCAGCGATGCTTGCCGGTAGATCAACACTTGTACCTGTCGCATCGCCACAGCTCATCTGATACAAGCTGGAGGGCGACATAAATGCTCAACTCCTTCGCATTCACGCGGACTCGCGTTCGACTGATGTTCGGCTCGTGCAGACTCATGTTGGACTCATTCTGAAGCCATGTTCGACTGAGGCCGTCTCGTGTTGGACTCATCCTGGGCTCATGTTCGATTCATGTTGAACTCATGCAGGCTCATGTTGGACGGGGTGGGTGGTGGTCGGCACGCCCTACGTGGACGCGACTTCCGTTGGGGTGGCCGGTGATGACCGCGCGCCCGATGTTCGACTCATGTTGTGCTCATCCCGGACTCATGTGCGAATTATGTCGGCGCATGTTGGACTCATGCCAGGCTTTCCTACTAAAGCTTTCCATTGAACTTTGGAGACGCACATTCAAGTTCACGCCCTGAAGGAAACTCCTTGACTCACACCCATCCAGACCTCCTCAAACCTTACGCCCTCAACCCAAACATGCGCAGAGTCGAGGCAGCCAAAAGGGTTCCAACCGCACGAATGCTATGTCCGTGAAGCAAAAGGCTGAAGAAGTCATTGCCCTGAGCCCTCCTGAAGCCCTGCACATTGCCTAAGGCCCCGACCGAGCCGGCTCCTGACAGAGGGGGGGTTTTTGGGCTTTGAGGTGATTTAAGGATGATACACTGTAGTAATTTCGGATAAATACCGACCCAGATGGCTTCGGAGGGTTTTTGTAGGGGTTGTCATAGCATTTAAGGGTTTTTGGTGGATTACGGGATTGGGCTTGGGTATTCAGTGTTTGGGGCGCAGTGTGACTGTTGGCCTCTGCTGTGTGGTCAAGCGAGTCCCTCACCCAAACCCCCCGAGCGAGTGCGTACGGGACATGAACCTTTCGGCATATGCGGAGGAGCCGGAAGTGCTGCGTCGCTAATGAAAGCGACGCTTCGGAAGACGGGAGCCCCAAACGCTCCGGCACCCAGGCTCTGCTTCTACTCCTCGGCCTTCTGCTACGCCGTTGCCCGCCAAGGCTGAGTTGCGGGGCAGGGTTGGGAAGGGGTCTTGGCTTGTGCGTTGTGGGTTTGTGGTCTGTAGGGTTTCGGGCTTAGGGTTTGGGGATGTTTGGGGTCTAGTGCGTTTTTGATAGCTTCCCTTCGGCTTTTGGGCCGGGCTTATGGTTTGGGAATCAAGGGCTGAGGGGAGTGGAGGTCTGGGCAGGGTTGTGAGTTGGGGGATCTATCAGCCAGGGAACAGCCACAGACGGCGTGGCTTCTTCTGATGGCAGCCCGGGACTCACACTCAGCGGACTCGCCAGTTCTCAGCTAGTGCTGCGCTTGGTGCGTGGGACTTGCTGAGCAGACTCGTGCTACACTGTTTCGAACACAATATCAATACTGCATGGAAGATGCATCGCATGGGAACCCGTCATTGATGGCCCAAAACTTGAAATTCTGGCTATTGAATATCCAGCCACAATCGCTGATGGTGTCCTTTGCCACGAGCTCGCCGAGGGCGCGCTTGCGCAAGTTGCTTCAGCAAAGGCGAACGGTCGTTGTGGTTGCCTGTGCCATGGCATGCTCCCTGAGTGGGCACCAGGACGAAGTTGCGCAAGTTGCGCCAGCAGTGCCATTTTGGGCTCGCTTTGAAGATTCTCGTTACTCTTCGGTGCAGAGTTTGGTTCACCTGCAGATCGGACCGACAGTAGAGCTCGACCCTACTCGGCTCTCTGTTGATGTGGGTTTCCTGCTTTCAACAAAGAGGGGTTCCAGAAACCTGCCACCCTCGTATGAGTTTCTTCAAAGGATTCGAGGCTTGATGAAGGAGTTCTTTGAGAGCGAAGTGTGGCTGTTCACACAGGGCTCAATGCTTTTTGGTGTTGAAACAGAAGAGTCTGACATGGACTTCAACTTCCTTGTGGACGGCCGGGCGGTTACCAAGGACGATAGGGATCAGCTTGCTCGATATCTTGCAAAGGCTCTCCCGAGGGACCATCGGGTGCGTAGTGGCTTGCATTCTCCTTGCATTCATATCTACCTCCCGCATGGCGAAAAACTTGACATTACCCCTCGCAACTCCACCTACTATCACTTCTACACCACCATGTTGCCCCACTTTCTGGGTACGACAGATCGCCTCGAAACCGATGCGCGCCTCCTTGAGTTTTTCCATTTGAACCCATGGGCACGACAGGGTGTGCAGCTGTTAAAGAAAGTGTTTGCAAACACAACGCCCAAGTTGTCATCGTTTGTCATGACACATTTATACGAACAAATATCTCGTCGGTTCCTTTGGATGGCTTCACCCGCGTGCAATCCAAAGAAACCATGTTCGAAGTGTTGTGCCAAACCTTTCGAGAACTTGGTCAGTTTCCTGCTCTCAATGAAGAGTCACCGTTGAGGCTGCTGATGCAGGATGACATGCAGCTTCCAAGCCCTCTGCGGCTGAAACTGTCGCTGGAGCGGAGTATTGAAGCTATGGGCAGGGAGGTGAGGCAGGGAGAAGTCTTGAATGAGAAGTTAAGGTCCTTGGTGGTCAGCATTTTGAAGGACAAACAATTCGACGAGGTTTTTACAACAGTCCCACCTTCTATGCGTAGTTCCTTTGCCCGTTGGATGGATGCACAAGTTGGAGATCCAGGCAGCAACCCGGACGTTGCAGCGATGTTTCGAGCAGCGAACAGTTACACACCGTCACCAGTGGAACCACTTTTCGAGGAACTCACAGCACACGATGATCCCCAATATCGGCCATTTTATGAGGAACAACGGAAGGGGCTACATCGCATGCGCCGCCAGTGGCTCGACCTCGAGAAGGGAACGCATCCATTTTGGTTGTTCCACCCCTGGTTGCTTCTTCGTGGTCAGCAGGAACAAGGTCAGTTTGTGGAATTTTTGCAGGCCGGGTTGCAGCTACAGCTCTTCACAAAACTTGAAAGCCCAGGAAGCATGACTGTCGTGAAGGAGATGGCATTCGCAATGTCCGGACCCGCTTATTTCCAATTTGACAATGACTCGAGCGCAACTGATGTGATGAATGTCCTTGCTGCTCGTCGTGATCTCATGGCAAAATTAGAGCAGGCAGTTGGCGATGTATATTGGCTTGAACTTTGCGATGATGGGAAAATGTGGAAGCCGGGACAAGGGAATGAGCCGCAGCTGGCTCCCGCTAGCAGCGGATGGTGGCAGACAGACAATCATTCTCAGCCTGTGGTGGGGCCCGGTCCAAGCAAAAGCGCTAAGCTTTGAGATTCGCAATCGGCAGACTCACCCGATTTTGTTGGACCTTCCTCTGCGTCATGGCGCGCGTGAAAACCTCAATCTCCACAATAAGTAGCTTTGGGTGACCCCTCCCAATAACATAAGATCAATGTTTTGGCGAAAGGTTCTGTAGTGGAATGGCCATGCTAGAAGTAGACACGATGCACCTGGGCTCCCTGGAAAAGCTGCGGCCAAGCCCATCCTCAGAGTATCCGAAGCCCGAATTTCCCGTCACAATTCTGCGCTCAGGGGCGACTGCAGGCTTGACCTGCAAAGGAAGTGGTCTCAATTCGCTGCGAGCTGAGGCCACTGGGCCCTGTGGCGGTTCATATTGTTCGTGTTATTGTTGACGGCATACACAGTGGAATCAAGACGTCCTTACTCTGTTTCTTTCGTTTGTGTGGCTTCGGGGATTCTTACGACAGGATTCCTGGCAGAGGCAGTTCCGGCTATTTTGGTGGGCTGTTTGCTTGGATGTGGCAGCCGGAGAGGTCTTTGGGCCGAAGCTCTAACTTATTCCTGCATTTGGGCTCCTGATCTCCGACTTGGCAACAAAGAGCCTGGTACATACCAAGAAACTCAGAATACGTATAGGCAGATTCATCTGCAGCAGTTGAAGGTTGAAATTACGAGCATCACACGCTCCGATCCACTGCCCCATTGAAACTTTTCGGGTTTGCTGGGCCTCTGCTCCACAGGCCACCGCTACGGCCTTCTTCCCCGAGGCAGGGACGGGCCAAACACGTTTGAAGCTTAAACGTTTAAACATTTTAGGCGTTTAAACTGTTTGAAGAGAGTTCGGGCTTTGGAGTGTTTAAACAGTTCAAACAGTTCGCAGGGCTCAACGTTTAAACATTTGGTGAGGCTCCAGGGCGTTTAAACATGTTCAAGAAGTTGTTGCCAAGTGTTTAAGCAGTCCTCTATCTGGGCAATTTTTGGCCCAAGTTTGGTGCTCTGCAAAGCTGAAACTTTGAGAACCTACACCTTGTGAAGCCCTAAGCCACTCTTTCAGGCTGCTCTTGTTGCGGTTTAAACGGTTTAGACGATTTAACCACGTTTAAACGGTTTAAACGGTTCAAAGGGCGTGAGTCAGAGTTTAGGCATGGCCCTAGGTCCAGTGCTTTGCTGCTTTGGGAACCCACCCACCTTGTGAAGACGTACTGGTTCGGGGAATTCGCCTCGGCTTCCTGCCGAGAAGCGTCTGGAACAAGCAGACCCGGATCGGGCCTCCTTCCCCCTAACCCAACCCTTCCCCCCATCCAAATTTTCTGACGCCACCCCCCCCCCCCCCACCGCCGCCCTGTGGGACCCCCCCCCAATCGCCGATGCCGTAGAGGGTGCTGTCGGTGGCTCCCTGCCTCAACACCCCCCCCCCCCCCCCCCCCACCCCCCCCCCCCACCCCCCCCCCCCCCCACCCCCACCCCTCCCCCTTTGACCCCTCTACCCTTCCTCCCCTTTTTTTGCGAAACCCTCTTTCCTCCTTTCCTGTCCTGGGGCCGGGGCGGCGCGCGCAAGCGTTTACAATTAAGGATGTTGGTTTTGCGGGGGCCTTTTTTTTGGCAATAGAAGGTACCTGATTCCTAATCAGTTCCCAATCAGTTCCTCAGCAGTTCCTAGATGACTCCTCGGGGCAGGGTTGGGCGGGGGGGTTGTGTTTAATCGGTTTAAACTTTCGGGGTTTAAACGCACATTGTTTTTCCAACAAACAGCGCGCTTGCTGTTCAGAATGTTTAAACGCTTTAATCTGTTTAAACGTGGCTTAAACATTAAACGGTTTAAGCTGTCACATGTTTAAACACACACACACACACACATGTTTAAGCATCTGTTTAAACATAACACACAGAGTGGCGTATTTTGGGGTTTTGGGGCTTTGGGAGTTAGTTTGGGGTCATGGACCCTTGCTCCCAACCCTCTGAGAACTCATGTCCAACCTTGGGAACTGACACTCCGAAGAGCTGAAGCTCAAACGGTGTAAACGTGTTTAAGCTGTCTAAGCCCCTGTTTAAGCCGTTTAAACTACACCGTTTGGGCTGTTAATGGCCTGGCAGACCCTGGCAGCCCTGGAAGGCCCAGGAAGCCCTGAGAGCCTCTGGAAATGCTTGTAGCCCCTGGCACAACCCCATGAGTCCCAAGTGCTTAATCCTCGAACCCTACCGCAAAGCCCTTATGCGCCCCACCCCTTGTACACTGTAAGCTCGAAACACCCACCTTCGTGGCTGCACAAGCAATGTTTGTGAACCCGAGCAACTCTCCAAACCCTAAACCTGTGTAAGCAAGGAGACCGTACTAGCCCTATTTAACCCCTGTAATCCCCAAAAGCCCAAGAAGCCCTATGAACCTTAAAAATGCTAAAAGCAAAACCCTGTGAAAGGCCGAGGAACCCTAAAAGTCCTAGACACCGACTGCAGGAGCCTGCCGAGCCGGATGCAGAGCCCGACACCGAACCAGAGGCGCCATGGCTGAGACTCCAGAGATGGGGTTTTGGGGTTTATAGCATGGGGATTACAGCGCTTTAGGGTTCAGAAGGTTAGGGGGTTTTGGGGGTAGGTACATTTTTTTGGAGTTGTTGGTTTCCCAGCTGGGGCATCGTTGATCATCCTGGGCCCACTGACACATGCGGTGCAGGAGTTTAGGGGTGTGTATGGTGGTGGGCTCAGCCGTTTCTCAAGGGGCGATGTGTTGTTGGTTGGTTCTTGTGCCTGTGTCTCTGTGTGTGTGTGTGAGGGCTCTTAAAACTCATTGTTGTGGTACCATGTGCCATTGTCCTGTCGTTTTCGAGGCTCCTGAGGACGATCCGCAGGGTGCACCGACCGAGGAGGCTGCCAGCTGGCCGTGGGTAGAAGTCGTTTGGGGTTTACAGTAGGGCCCTTGCGCTCTTCGTGGCGATGAGTTTTCACTGGCAGCCTTTGGTCGTTGCTTTCAGAGGAGTTTAGAGTGTATTGTAGAATTTATTGTTCGGAACCTGAAAGCCCTGTATTCTTTAACTTCCGCTACATCTGTATAACCCTTAAAGCTTTTTTCGGACTTCACCTCCGTGCTAAACACACACGCAGCGTTGGCAAAAGCTCCTCGAGGTAATTGGGTGTTTCGCAGAGTGGGAGGAACCTCACATAGGCAATGTCGGGCAGGTTCTGTTCCGGGCTCTGCCATGGGTGATCCGGCATGCTGGGGAGGGCAGTTTCAGCCAGAACGCTGCTGTGATACTGCAGCTTATGGCCCCCATGGGAACGCCGACTGCTGGAACGAGGCGCGGAGTTGGTTTGAATGAGGGCTGCTTGACACGATCGGCCAAGTAAACCCTAAACCCAAACCCCCCTGCCAGGCCTTCACCTTCGCACGATGTTGCCCAACAGCCGCACCTGCTCCCACAGCTTCGTGGGAGGCCCCCGGTGCGGAATGAAAGCCTGTCTGTCCCGTCCAGGGTCTAGGGCTTCCTACAATTCGGGATGAGGGTTACATGGGTTTCTGCAACCGCCCCAGCCTTCAACTTTCTTGGGTGCACATGTAGGAAATACAATGCATGCCGGCGCTGAAGCGGCGGTCTTGGGTAAAGCTTGCAGCTCCCGAGCTCCCTTTTGCTGTTTCTTTCGTTCTGTCTGCTGGGGGTGCACATGTCTGTCTCCGGCTTATTATAAAGTGCAACAAGAGGAACACTTGGACAGAATTCAATTCTTTAAGAGTGAAAGAGTGTATGTGAAGTTGAGGGGGAGGTTGAGAGGCAAAAGGGGTCTAACTTTGGCTTGAGCTTGGAGTGCTGGAACATCCGCCTCAACATCACCAGACTGAACTTAGTTTGGACTTCTCATCCTATCAATCCAAGGCCCAAAGCCCCTATCCACACCCCTAGGCCCTAGGCCCTTTGAGCTCCTGATCTCCTAGGCGGGCTCGTGCTGGTCCGGAATCTACGGACCGGAGCTCTGTTGCGGCCCGGGTGGGGGGCATCCGCGCTGCTGGGATGAGGTCTACACCTACGAGAGGCTGGGGGTTGATTGTTGAGGCATTGAGGGGTCTACAGGAATTAAAAACGTGATCGGCTTTTGCGGTTGTTTGGTGGACTGTCGGCTTGGTGTTGGGGTTCTTGTGCTGGCTTTTGCCATTCTGACTCGATGATTTTCTTCTCACCGCAATAGTTGACCGACTAAGCGGCTGATGTGGTAAAGAGGCATACTTCGCCTGTGTGGTGCTTTCTGCGATCCAATGCTTTGGAAGCCAGGTTATACTATGTGTTTTTTCGGAAGGCTTGTTGAAGGCTTCTGAGGCTGAGTTTGGGGTTGGACAGTGGGGTGTAGGGTCGCAGGCTGGTTGCAGCAAGCTTCTTTTTTGTGCATTTACGTCCCTGCAGCATAGTCGAGAAACGCCCCAAACCCCCAACCTTAAACTTAAACCCTCAAGCAAAAGCAACCCTAAACCCTCGAGGCAACCCTAAAACCGAAGCCTCAACGTTTAACCCGAAACCCTAAACCCACCATGAACCACACGGGCGGGATGCGGGTAAGTCCTAAACTCCAGGCCCCAAACTGAAAGGGAGTTCCCCTCCCCCAAGGTGCTGTCCTGAGACTTTGCAGCGTGCTCTTACAGTGTGGTGGCTCCTGCCATGCCATCCGGGATGCCTTCCCTCCTGGAGCTCGGAGGACCCTGAGTCGAATGTTGATCCTTGCTTTCGGGTACGTAAAGGTACGGGCCCGGACATAAAAACGGAACCCTGACTTAGAGATCTGACCTCACAGAATCCGAGCCCAAAATCCCTACACTTCTTGATAGGCGGCTTCGGGGGGTGTTGCAACGGGCTGCACGAGGGTTTGGATTGCCAAAGGCGATTGGCCTGCTGGCCTTTGGCCTACTGTCCGCTTGGGTGCTGTATGTGCTGAGCCACTGGAGAGCCAGAAGGCTGGGTGGAGAAGGGTTGGGTCTTCTCTGGGGGTTTGGGGGGTCTAGTTGACGGTTTTGTGGGCACGAGGAACGGTTTTCAGAGAGCCTCGGGATGCTCCTTCCATAAGCTCCCAGATCCTAGAACATTTTAAGTCGCGAAGCCCAAGCACAAGCCTTTAACTCCCGAAGGCTTGGATCCTTGGTTTCTGCGGGCGGCGTGCTGCTGCCTCCGCGATCGTGGGCGCCGGATTTCCTTCGGATGGTCTGCCTTTGTGGCCGGGCACGGAAGCAAGCTTCAGGGTTTTGAGGTGTCGGGTTTTAAGCATAAGGCGGAATCTGAAGCGATGGTTTTTAAGGCTTGGTGGTATGTGTGCGTGCGGGATCTCAGAGGCATGACTTAGGCTGTAATTAGAAGCGAGCAGTGCATGTAGATTCGGCGCTCAGGCTGCCAAATCGCCATCCACTTCATGCAGAAAGGTCCAAAGGACGGCGCGAGCCCCGGAAGCATCTCCCGTTTCCCAGTCCCAGTAGTCGGGGAAGCTCTGCAATTGCCGCATGGAAGGGCCTGCGTGCAGGACCCCGTCCACCCAAAGCATGTGGAGCTGGCTGTGCGGCGTTTCGCAATGCTCGCCCTAGATCCCGGGTCAACATGGCTCCTCCTGCGGCTAGGATTCAATAGTACCCTTTGCCCCCTTTTTTGGTGCAGCATTCTTTGTGTTGCTTCGACGGAGACGTTCGTCCCACGAAGCCAACAGTGTCACAGTGTTCCTTTTTGTTCGCCTCCTACGTTCCGTGGGATGCTAATTAACTTAGGAGCCTATTGGCGGAACCTATTGGGAAACCTAGGTGGCTGCAGAGGTCGATCCACATCTGTGCGAGCTCGGGCTGGTTTGTGCTCTGTGAAGAGGTTGTGGTTGGTCTTGGTTTTCTTTTTCGGGGGGTTGTATAGGGCATTGGCTTGGGGCAACTTTTTTTGGGAGTTCGGCATGTTGCGGCATCATGAGTGTGAAAGGCCTAGAACTCCTAACCATCCTCGTTCACCAGGTACTGTCGGCCTACCTCCTCAGTCAGCAGGACGTGCCCAAAGTTGGTGCCGCGAACCTTTGGCTGCGGAAAGTGTTGCGCCAAGCGCCTGCCGCCGTGCTGGGAGGCTTCGTTCACTTGCAGGCCGCTGGTTCCAAGGAGGTGGTCCATTGGGCACCGGAACAGGATTCGGGCGTAAAAAGTCTTGCATTTGTGATGTGATGTGTGGTGTTGCCGGCAAATGTGCAGGATACTGACCTCAGCGCTATACCCCATGCCGGCTCCAGTTCGGGCGTAGGTTTAGGCTTTAGGCGGGGAAAACCTGCCCAGGTGTCCGGAGCAAGTAAGATGAAGCCTGGCCAGCAGGCTCAGCAGATGCTGGAGTGGGCCAGTGGCCTTGCCGGAGGGCCGGTCGAAATCCTCCGACACGACTCTCGATTCAGGTTCATGCCGACAGTAAACCCTAAAAGCTCTTTGCGATACGCAAATAAGCCCGCGTTACAGTATGTTCATGATGTGGGTGCGCTAGAGGCCTGCTCAAGACTACAAGATACTACAAGCTCTCCAAACGCCTTTTCCTGTAGCTTCTCGCAGGGACACTTTCGGGTCTTGAGCCTCTGAACGACAGGTCCGAAGTTCCAGTATGTTCCAGTCCTGAGTTAGTTTAGGGGTCAGGGCTCGAGATCTTGGCAACTGTGCCACTTCAGGAGATGGCCTGCTGGTTGGTCGTGGCCCTGTGCATGTCGCTACGGAGCAGAGTGCTGAGGCAAGATGGCCCAGCGACTGGTTCTGTGTTTGTCCAAGTCCTATCCTTCCCTGACCTTCCAATGTATCCTCCTTGGGTCTTTGCTTCACCCCTGAGTTCTAGGCCGGCATATGCTTGGCCCTGCTCTTGAAGGCTGCTGGCCCAAAAAACTTGTAGCTGTAATCAGCTGAAGAGCCTTCAGGCCCTGGAGCCAAAGCTGCTTTAACTCGCGCGGCTGCAAACCCTGGGTGGCGCAGGTTCATGTCTGGAGCGGGCGTCACTGTTATCCTGGCACACGTTCACCTCCAAGCCCTGCGAGTGTATGATCTGGTGGCGACCACACACCAGATGTCAGAGCCTTGCTTAATTTGAAGGCCTGCACCGAAACACGAGAGGGTATCGGATTATCGAATACCAGGATGGGCATGTACCTGTGTCCGAGCTTGCTTTGGACCCTGAACGGTGGTCTCAAAAGCCAACAGCCTTAAGCCTTCAAGCCCCTGCACTTAAACCCCTTGTACCCTTAAGCTATAGACGACCTTATACCCAATCTCCAAATCATCCGGCCGACGCATGAGGAAAGGCTCAAGCTTGTGGTGTGGGGTCTTGGGTGTAGGGTTTAGCGTTTAGGGTTTGGGTTTGCTTTTGTTTGGGTTGGGGCATGGAAGCCGACAATGCACTTGAACCCCTCCTGAATGCCGAGCTAAGAGGGACCTAAACCCTCAATCCGGGTTCCTTAGGATCGGAGCTCGGCCAACGTCCTCCTCGGAGAGTTCCTGCCCATCTACCTTCTATCGCTGCTCGGTTATGTTGAGGTTTAGGGTTTTCGTTTAGGGTGCAGGCGTAGGGCTTTTACGGTTCAGGTTTCGGCCTTCCCTCCCGAAGGTCTTTGGGGGGTTCAGTTTTATCCCCGAACCCTTTAACCCTGAACCCCGACAAACCAGAAACCCAATCAATGCTGATCCACATACAGTAAACTACAGAAAGTCGGAACATGGCTTAAGGGATTCCCTTTAGCATACCTTTTGGGGTATGGGGATAAGGATGTTCCAACTTTTTGGGGGTTTCTGTCGTCGGGTACCACAATTTACGTCAGCCCCCGGAAATGCCAAGGCCCCATAGCCCCAAACCCTGGACCTGCGTGCCAGGTTCGTTCTGTCCCACCTGCGCCCCTGGCGAATTCTACCTCCCATCTGCGCCCTTCTGATTGGAGTGCCTCGGAATCCTTCAGGGTTAGAAGGTTTAGGCTGCTTGTATGGGAGGAAGGCAGATACAACTGCTACTCCGAGCCAGAATCAAGAATAAGATCCCACACGCACACAATCAGCAGTTTGCCTCATATCCGTTTAGGCCCCATCATCGCATCGCACTTCCTTAAAGCCGCCCGAAAGCCTTAAACTCCACCGCCTCGAGCCCCGGCTTTGGGACCCTCAGACCTTGTTGGCTGGGAAGGCAAAAGTTGTCTGCTGACTCCTTGCCTTGCAATGAAGGAGAAAGATTGAAAGATGAGAGAATCCAAGCTTTGAGTTCGACACCTGCCCCAGACCTTGAACCTGCGGAGCCCATTGACTGTCCAAGTTCGTGTACACGTAACAACAGCCTTCAATGGAAGAGCCTAGGTCCAAGGCCCTACACCCCCCGATTCGTCCTACGTTAAATGGCTAAGGCGCTGGTCTAGTGAAGAACAACGCCCCCTCCCACAATCGCGAAGTACAGGTGCTGGGTAGCGGTCTCCTGTCAGCTCTTTTTGTGGATAATGCCCTTGGGCTGCAACAGTTTTTTTTTTGTGTCTGCTAGGAAGCTTGGGATATCTTGGGATCAAAGAGGCTCGGGTTCCAAAGCTCAAAGAAGACTGTGTGAGCCTACTCAGAGCAACCTGGCCACCTTAAAGTGCCCACGGTCGCGACAAAAAAGCCCAAGACTCAGGGCACGTAGGCCATTGTGGGTAAGTTGGAGGTCTTCGAAGGGCTTATCCTCAACATCGCTTCTTCATCTGTACTGTAGTTGATGTGACTAAGATCAAGACCCCAACAACATCAGATCGCTGCTATTCCCCTTATACTCACAATCCTTAATAGGGGTTCTAGTACCCCCCTCCCCCCCAGCATCATCCCTATGAAGGACTGTGATCAAAAGGGGGAACATCCCCAGTCCCTCCTCAGAATTTTAGTTCAAGAGCGTTCCATCCCCGGAAGCTCTCAAGTGATTTAGGGTTCAGGCTTTCGGGTTCAGGATTCTTGACCTGGCCCCTGGCCAGGTCGGTGGAACGTGGCCTCCGTATGTGGACCCTTGGATGATCTGGCAGATGTTCTGCTTATGTCGGCCCTCTGGTGGAGCAAAAACATTTGCAACGGCAGTTTGTATATTCCAGGGTAAGCCTAAATGGCAAGGATCCGCGGCTCCATTTCTGGCTGGCCACTTGGCCACAATTCGTATCCAGAGTGGGTCCGGCGCACTTTTGCAGGGGTCCTTCGCTCCTTTTGAAGGCTTCCGTGCTGTGAGGCGTAGCTTGAGGTTCAGACCTGAAACCACAAATCTTTCAAAACCTGCCCCTTCTGGAGCAACACCTTAACCTTGCTCGGGCTTGCAGGACTTGCCGATGGTTTTGGGAACAGCCTTCTTCCTCAAAGCATCGGAGTCTGCGCCAAGGTCGATCCGTGCATCGTCAACCCTAGCAGAATAGCGTTTGGCGGTTGGGGAGGAGGTTCGGGGTTCGGGGTTGCGCCTTGAGAGGCGTCTCATGCTCCACGGGCAGGTGTTCCTGCAAGATAGAGCGTGGGGCTACGCACAGGGGCCCCTCAAATCCTTAAATGGCAAGCTTAAGAAATCCAAAAAAGAGCCAAATCTCTGGATCCCTGAGCACAGTGTGCTAGGGCCCTTCCTACCGGAGGTGCTACCGCCATCTCCTTGCCGTCATGGCGGCCTCAAGTCCCCTGGATGCAGAAAATGAAACTTCTTCGCAATGTGTCTTCGTTAAGTGCAACGGGCTTGGGGGAGGGTGGCCACTCCCCCCAAGCCCCGTGACTGGTCAAGCCAAAGCCAAATCCTTTAAGATAACATCTCCTTGGCATGAATACCCAGGGTCGTTCCAAGAACACTTGCCTTGTGTTCTCATACTGATATGCTCACACATGTGGTCAGTCCTGGTCTCAGACTAGCACTCAAGCTGTTTGGTGCTTGGCCACTTGGCCAAACTGCTTGCCTTTTGCACAGTTGCTGTCGCTAGTATTGTTGCGTGTCAAGTCAGCAAGGAGTTGCACATAGACAACGAGGAACTTAGTTAGACATGCAAGGTAGGCATAGGGGTGATCAGGGTGCTCGAGCCAAGCCGCTCCTTTGCTGCCCTGCATACCTTCCCTGAAGCCCTAAATCACAATACGTTGTTTCTATTGGGGAATTCTGAAAGGAGCCCTTGTGCATGAAGGCATGTTTTCCTTCATTGGAAAAGGCTCTTGCCTGGCTGGCAACAGCATTTCTGATGGCTCCACCAACATGGCTTGGACGGTTAAGTTGTGGTCCGCTTCTTGTTATAGGGTTCTTAAGGGAGCCGAGGTCCCCCCCATGAACCCCCCTCTCCTTAAGGATCTTGGAACTTTGTCCTCCGAGGTCTAATGGCCCAAGTGGTTAGCCATCGGCTTCTGCTGAAATGGATTGCGGCTGTGCGAGGCGTAGTTCTGGGCTTTGCAAGGGGCGCTTGCTCCCTAAGCTACCGTATGCACCCTTAAGAGGGAGTGACGCAGAGTTCATAGGGCTCATGGTGTATGAGTTGAGGGTTCAGCCACCCCAACATCTCAACACCCTGTGAGCGTCAGCCCGAAAACCCAACAACCCCAATACAATAACTGTTGCACCCTGGACCCTGTGCTGCACCCGAAACCCTGGAACCCTAAACCCTGCCTGGCGGCAAGGTGAAGGGACGATGCCGATGGTGGATTCACTGTTGGCCATCCCAGGCCAGTTCCGTGTTTGGGCTTTGAAGTCGGGAGTTCGACTGGAGGGTCGGAGTGCCGGGGGTGTTGGCGCCAGCATACTTGTGAACCCAGCCCCATGTGAAGACCATGAACCGCAAGCCCACTGAAAACCTTGACCCACAGAGATCGGAAAAATGAGCAGATGCTGAACTTCGCTACAGGGGCAAGAGTTTCAGTGGAACCGAGGCTGCTGAACCCTAGACAGCGGCAAGTTCATGCTTGCAACTGTCAAAGTTCCTTGAAGATGGACTTATGGGGAATACAGTAGGATTCCGATGATGAGGCCTAAGAGAAGTGTAGACTTTCGCTAATTTCGGCAGAGCTTGTGCTGCAGGCTTCATCTTCCTGTCATTGCTGGGGGCATACTTGCTCACAGCCCTCATCGGCATACCGGGCACGTGGCTTATAGGCATGTGCTGCCGGGCTGGGGGTACAGGGGTGGGGTTCAGGGCTGAAGGCCCTGTAAGCCCCAAACCCTTGTCACCACAGAATTCCTAAACGGAGACGGAAGCTTTGTTTGGGGCCTGAGCTGCTTTCCTACAAGAAAGCTTCGGAGCTCAAGTCGCAAGGTACAACAGCCACCGAGGATCGACGAGTTCGTAATCCGGGTGTTTTGGGGCTTTGGGAGCTAGCAGCCTAAACATCAAAACCTCGAGGCCTTGACAAAGCAGCCCCCTGCGAGGCAAGCTGGTGACGCCTTGCTTCTCCCTCGCCCCTCCGCTGTTCTTCGCCGCGTACCTGGCAACTTTTGCCTTCTACCTCGCCTCCGAAGATGAGGTGGAGCAGGGCTCGGAAAGGGCTTTGAGCAGCAAAGGGCTTTGTTTTCTGGGCTCTGGGCTCTGGGGTTCTGGGGGTGTTTTGTCCAGTTTTGGATGCAAGATCTCTGACCCAAGTAGCTGACCACCAGTGTAGGGAACGGCGACTCAGTGGTCGGAGTGCAAGGGTGGCCGCCCTAAATCACCCCGTTAGCATCCTTTAGCCCTTCTTCTAGAGCCCGCTTCCGAACCCCCCCCCCCCCTTTGCATAAAGCCGAGGTGTTCAGCATTGCGACCAAAGGCCAGGCTTTTTGGGGCGAATGCCCCTTCGCGGCCTTCATGAAAGCTCCTCACCTGGTTGTGAGCGGGGCCTTGTCTGCCATGGCTGAGAAAATCAGAAGCGCGATGCCATTTGAGTGAAGAAGCTGTCAAAGCGTAGCCCTCAACGCCCAAGGCCCAATCCCTACTGTACTAAAGAGCATCGAAAGAGACCGTAAACCCTTGAACCCTTACACTTAAACCCCAAACCCCGAACCCTGCACAATACACGCCATACATTCCTAAACCATCTCGACCTTCTCCAGGCGCCGCCACGCAGGGAGACGCCTGAATCCCAGAGGTCAGTTCGTATGGACTACAAGCAAGCAGGTAACGTTTGATGTAAGCAGAAGTAAGAAGTGGATGTAAGATAGACTTCATGATGTTAGATGTGGATTGTCGATGTCTGGATATGTGAGATGCGCGTTTGTGTGCAAGTATTTGTGGGTTTCAAGTCCACAGTGGGAAACAGGGACCTCACTCCTTTCCTTCTAATGTTCAGGGCCCCACTCTCTCCCGAAGTCCGGCCTTTCATCCTGAGACCGACAGGCCCCCAAACTTCTCGCCGTCCCGCCGCTGCAAGAGTACATATTCGAACCTCGCTAGAGCATGAAGCGGAGCGCAGTAAGCACGAACCTTGACCCCATCCCTGCCCCCAGATTCTAGTCCAACATGGAACCCCTCACAGAAGGTCTTCGCGCTTCAGCGAGTGGAAGAGCAAGCCACCTGCACGGAGCGCGTCCTGCGTAGGCATCGTGGGTGAGCGTGGAAGGGGGGGGGGCTGTTCCGAAATCAGGGCGCTCTATTTGCGCAGGTGCTGTTCATCATGGAACATAAAGTTTCCTTTTGGGTGCTTTGCTTGGAGTGGAGGGTATGCTGGAAACCCAAATCTTCGAACACATCAAGTGGGAGAGCCGACGGTGAGGGCCTTTTAGGGTTTAGATTCAAGGGGAGCAGCCACTTGTCCACATGAAGGGGCGTTCTTTCGCTGCAACGGTGATCCTTGCGGTTCAAGCAAATCAGAGGGCTTAGGGCTTAAACCAGGTTTTGGCTAAGGCTTAGGTGTCAAGCCGGCCAGTCTGCCATGGCTGCCTTCACAACAGCTGCCTCTGAGTTTCTGGGACGAACTTGGTGATTGTTTTCCAGCCCATACAAAAACCCTGAAAAGCGTCCCCAGGCGGACCAGGTCAAAGCGTTTTCGGCTTTGGCTTGTTGTATACTTTTTACATGGCCCCATAGTTACCCAAGGTTTCAAGGCTTTCAGGGCCTGACCCTTCCAGATGAGACCCAGCCACGATTGTACATTGGTCCGAAGCTCGTCAGCACTTGGAATTGAGACAATGGAGACTAGCTGGGCGTGTCAACGCGGTACCTTGCCCGACAAATATGGCGTGATGCTCGGAAGTACGTGGCCCATCTTCATACTACATACTTCCCAAACATTGCTTTTCGCAACGACATGAGTGAAATTCTCAAATTCAAGGTAAGAACTGCGAATATGTGAAAGTTGAAAGTAGGAAGTTGATGGGCTATGATGGGCTGATGATGTTCTTAAGACGAGCCGAGGAAGGAGGCCCTCTCAGATCCGCGTGGATTGCAAAGGCAAGGCATTACCCACATCCTGTCGGTGATGGAGGGTGCCTCCGCTTTCCAAGTAGATGCCGGCCCCTTGCCGACAAACGTTCGTGCTTTTCTCATGGTAAATGAAAGCAAGGCACGGGGGGCGACACTGGGTCGCTGCTGTCGGAACCTAGGATTCACTCGCTTGCTTCTTGACACTGCCTTGGATGATCCGGCATTTGATCTGCAATCATGGTGGCCCAGCTGCTGTGACTTCCTAGATGGTGCGCTGGGTTCTGGTGGCTCGGCTCCTCCATCCTGTTTGGAAAGTTGTTTTGGCTCTTGCCATTCTTTCGTTTAATTCTGTGTTCGTGACTGCTTCGCTGAACATACCAGCATGCACTCCGCAGTGTGACAGTGCTCTGCAGGTTCTGCTGCACTGCGACGCCGGCAGCTCCCGCAGTGGCGCCACGTTGGTTGCATACCTCATCCACCGCTTGAAGCAGCCCGCTGGTGAGTGCCTCGCCATGGCACAGCGCACACGCGTTGCAGTCTCACCGAACGAGGGCTTCTGGGCACAGCTTTTGTCATGGGAGCGCCGCTCGCAGAACCAAGGTAGACGCTTTCTTTTTTTCCAAGCCCCGAATGAATCTACAGCAGCCTTACCACTTCTTTAACTCTTACATATAATGACGGGGAGAACCGCAGCCTTCAGGCAAGTGCCTTGGCAGAGTGTCGCTGGCCACTTCTCGAATGCACGAGGTTCGACCTGGCTTGTGGCTTGGCTCACTGGAGGCGGCCCAAGATTGGCAGCGCCTACAGGAGCAAGGCCTGGGAGTCCGGAGAAATTTAGGCGGCTGAGGGATGTTTAGGGTTGGCACCCAAAGGTCCAGTCCTTCTGATTGCCTGCGCGCATCCTGATGCGTGCTGTTCTCGAGGCATTCGCCACGTGATCACGTGTGGCCGTGGGCTTGAGACATGCCTCCCCGAAGGGATCACTCGGGAACTGTCCCTGCAAGTCGATGACTTGAACTCTGCTGCAGTTTGCAAGATTTTCTACCTACTTGCTTTCCAAGGTCACACAGAAGCATACCATACAAGCCATGGCGCTCACTCACACTCACATTGTTGTAGTTGTGTGGAATGAAGCGAGCTGGAGCATGTCTCCGCAAGCCTTGAAGCCAACCAGCTCCAAGAAGTGGTTTGTTTTTCAACTGTTGTGTTGTGTGCTCAGTGGTTCCAGATAAGGGACGAGGTGGACATCTTGGAGCACCTGCCGAGGGCATCGGACATTCTGGACCAACTGTTAGGTCGCATGCAAAGCGTCTTGGTACACTGTGCCATGGGGCGGTCTCGCAGTGCCGCAGTGGTCATAGCATACATCATGCGGAAGGAACACTTGTCATACACAGAGGCTTTGAGCTCGGTACAGGCAGTCCGGCCTGAAGTTCAGCCGAACACGGGCTTCAGCCACCAGCTTGCTTGGTATGCCTCGATGGGCTGCCCCACGGATTTGCGGGACAGCGCAGGGACGTCCTACAGGGAGCTTGCCGTGTTTTCCAAGCTGCTTCGGAGATACAGTGCCTCGGATGTCATTGCTTTGGTTGCCGACGCTGGGGCCAACTGCCAGGACAGGGCAGCGCTCCATCGTGTGCTTGACGCCCTGGACCGCTTGCAGAATGCGATTCCCGAGGACGAGTCTGCGCGTCAGGAGAAGCGGCGGCAGAGTTCACGAATAAATTCCATTCTTGACACGCTCCCTTAGCAACCGAGCATCCTTTACTCCCTCCAGTACAAAGAGATCATCACCACTGTGCAGAATTGTGTATGTTCCAAAATTGAAAGCCAGTGTCCTCATGTGGATGACAGCACTCTCTGTCAGCAGGGCTCTGCAGCTTTGTACAGTCGACGTGCAGCCCCGACATCCCCGACTGCACAGAGCCGTGGAAAGTTGCCATTGCGCTGTCCCGAGGAACAGCACTGCTAGTTCTAGTCCGATGCTGTCCACCCAACCAAGGGTATCTGATCCAAACCTGTATGCCAGCGCATCGTTCGGAGTTGCTCTATCCGTGTCCCGTAAATTAGCTCCCGAAGTTCTTGGTGAGCCTTAAGCAGACGACTTTTTGAGGTCGAGACTCTAGCCTTCAATCTTTAAACGCCAAGATCCTGCCCAGACCCCGGCAAGCCGAAAACCCTTGTTTAGGGCTTGGGGGCCTTCCCCTGCAAGCCCTATATACCCTGAGCCCCCTAACCCTACGTCCTTTCGGGGTCCAGGACAAGTTGCCCAATAAGTTCAACATCTGTATACTGCAGGACGCCCCTGTGGATCCGCGTCAAGCGTTGCCGCCTTGTGGCCCAGCTCGAGGGGCGCACAGCTTTTGTGGTGAGATCAGGCTTTTCTGCTTTGGTGCTCGTCTTTGGGGAGTGGGGATGTAGCCGTGACGAGTGAACCGACGGCGGCTACGTTTGGGCTTGACTTAAACTCAATTCCTCAAGCCGGAAATGTAATCTCGAAAAATTTCCTGCCTACATCTTTGAGCTGCTATCCCCACAGCAAGTGCCCACAGATTCCAAAACCTTGAAAATCCAACCCTGAACCCTAACTCCAACCCAAAACAGTGAACACCACCCGAAAAGACTCAAACCCAAAGTGGCCCAGACAGCTGCAGCGGCCGCCGCAGCGGCGGCAGTGGCCCGGGATGGCCGGCCCTGGTGGGAAAGGCCTCGATCTAGAATCATAGTAATCATGTTCATACTGATAGTAACAATAGTAACAAGAAGAAGGGGAACAAAACCATAGTAGCATGGCTTCGAACAACTTCAGGGGAGTGAACGCCGAATGAGTTCGACCGAGTGCAGTCTGCCACACATCCTCCCAAGGCCTTCAGCACATGGATAGAAAACCAGGCAACACGTAGGTATAGACGGACCTTGTCACCTTTCGAGCTTGAGAAGAAGATCGCTCCATGGACAGTTCTCAAAGCACAATTAGGTCACACAGCCGATGCCGCATAAGCAATCTTCGAGAGTTTGGTGCGCTTTGGAACAGGCGCAGCTTCTTCATCGGGTCTAATTTTCAAAAAAACTCGACCTGCACCCCACACTTCCAAGCCCTCAAACCTACAAGCCTACAGCCTTTAAAGCCCGTGGTCCATGCACGTCGAGGCTCCACGAGCGGAAGGCCCTCAACAAGGCAGGGTTTGGGCTTGGATTTAGGGCGAGCCGCAGCAGGCCTCTGGAGATCCTCATTTCACGCCTGTTGGCCTGTGTGCCTGTGGCCTTTGATTGAAAAGTGCTTCGCAGTGTAGGCTCTGCAGTAGCTCGAGGCGCACAGGCGCGGTGGTGGACTTCCGAGGCGGCCAGCAGCACCAGAGGCATGGGGGTGGGGGGGGGTTAGGGTGTATAGGGTCAACAAACAAGCGTCCACAGCCTCCCTTTCTGTAGGTTCGTAAGGGTTGTTGGAGGGTTTTGAGGGATTTTGTGGTCTTGGGAGTCAGGGTCATGCAGCGTTGTGCTGATCCAGGTAGGCTTTGGAGGGCGCATCAAAAGAGAGACCTCCCCGAACGCGCGGCAGTAGGGTTCATGACGATTCAGAGGTTACGAGTCTTGGCGCGTCATGGGGCGATCCTCCAGCCTTGTGGTTCCTGGAAACGCGTGCCAGTTGTCTGGTGCCTCCCTAGTTGCTCAAATGCAGCACCTCGTGCTATCTTCCGTTCGCATAAAAAGCTACGACCATAAAGGTAGAAACCAATCACAAGCTTGTGCCAACTCAATGACTACGCAACACCTTGCGATAGGTGTCCGTCACGGTATCGACCTCACAGTTCAGAGCAGTTGCCAAGCAGAGCTCATGAAAAACTCAACAGGTCTGTCGGAGAAGAGCTGTGAGGGACCATGGGTTGACCTAAAGCCTGGGCCGCTGATGTACAACTCTGATTTGTACTAAGAATAGCATCGAGACTCGAAACTTGACCTTACTCCCTCAGCCGCGCAAAACCCAAGACCTGAAACTTCAATAGTCCATGTGAAGGCGGACTCTGAGACCACAGAAAAGCAGGAGGAGGTCGTTGGCAAAGTCTTGTGGTGTGCTTTTTGTGCTGGGCGCTGGCATAAGTTTCTACAGTGTACGGCCGGATTTATGGGTTTTCTTGTTTGTGAGGTCTGGCCAGGGAATTGGTTGTGAGTTTGAGTTTGGGGATTTGGGGGTTTGGGGTTTCGGAGGAGTGGAACTTTCGGCTGCTTTTTGAATCAATGTAGTCTCTCTGCGATCTCAACAATCCGATGGCCAGTTCTGGACCTGTGTTATGTTCTCCCCCCACTAAGACAGGCAGCTTTCCACTAGCCGCCGATGCCCATTCATTTAACCTTTAGTCCCCAGAGGGTTCAAGGCCTAAACTGCCCCCAAGTCTTAAGCTCATCAACAGCAGCCTCCGGACCTTCACTCTCACAGTTTCCATGGGTACCGGCGTTCCTTGGGGAGTCATTTTTGTTTCCGAGTCGGCGGAACGGCGGACCTGTGGCAACTGATGTTCTTGGAGCACTCTGCTTTCATGATGTTTGAAGAATGTGTGTTGAAGTATGTGTTGTTTTTGTGTATGTATGTGTATGTGTATATATACACACATATACTTGCTATGAAAATAATGTTTTTGTCAGATCTCTTGTGATGGTCCTTTCTTGGGGTAGGCATGATGATGGGGACCTTCAAGCTGCCACTGTGTTGAAGGCTCCGCCACCCACCCCCGGACTACTTGAGGCTCTCCATCCTGACCCTGTCTTTAGACTTTAGGGTTTCGTCCTTTTGCTTTGTGCCAGAAGTCGTCGGCCCCTCCACGCAGGCTCGGGCAGAGGGTTTAGGGTTTAACCTTCAGACTTTGACAGGATATGGCAGGATCGGTGCTAGTGTTAGGCGCTGAAGGTCGAAAGCCACTATCCTATCCGAGGCATCAGTTCGAAGTACTGAGTGGCAAATAGGCGACAACCCGAGACCCGCCACCTTTTAGCATGCCCTCCACTTCATGCCCTTTGTGACTTCATAGTACTCCTGCAGGCTTCCCCCAAGGCAAGCCGAGACCAACATCATCAAACGGGTTCGAAGGATCCTTATAACACGTCCCCCAAAAACAAGGCCTCCACCGGGTCCTGATCCAGAACAAACTTCGTTAGCAGCCATACCGGTGCCACACCATTATTCCCCACGCTTGAAAACACCCCGGCTCAGGGCCACTGTCGCTGGTCTCTTCTCCTCTCGCTCCCGACCTCCCTCCGCCCGCAGCCGGGAACGGAGGACCTTTGTTTGGGGGGGGGGGGGTAGGCCTTCAACCACTGGACGAGGCACACCTATACAGCTATTTTTTCTGTGACAGCGTACATAAATGAAGCTGGGAGCGGGTGTTGAGGTTCAAGTGCTTCTGGTCATAGCCTTCAGATGTTGCATTCTCAAGCACCACCATGCTACAACCGGGATGTCTAGAGATCTGCTCTTCAAAAGAGACCATAACCATGATAAAAGTCCAAGCAGGCAGCTCCACGAACTTGCCTTGTCTCCGGCCCTCATCCGACACTCACTCAGCTCTCCAGGGGTTTAGGAAGCTATGGAGGGCTACAGCTTAAGGATCACCCTCTTCCACCGTGAATGCAGAAGTCGGCTTCTTTGGAGGGTCCGTGGGGTTTAGGGTCCCATGGTGCCTATGCAGGGGGGTTTCTAAGAGTCGTTTGAAGCACTTTATCCCTGCGCCATGGCCTTCAACGCTATCGGCCTGGTTACCGGAGACAAGGCCGTCACGCAGAAAATCTTCTCGGAGGGGCTGGGCATGTCGTGGCCCAGCTTGGAAACAGAGGGCTGCTTCTAAGTGTGTTTGTTTTCATTTTTTGTGTTTGTGGTTGTTTTTGGTGTCGTCGGACTTGGCGGGTTTGGCCTCAAGCCTTCAAAAAGCCTCTCAGCATCACCTCCTTCGGTGGCAAAGTCTCAGCGCGCTGCCAGCAAAAGTTCGTGCGAGATGTGGCAGTGTTGGGAGTTCGGGGTATTGGGCCCTCGACCCCAGGTTCCAGGAGTTCGGCAAAGGCGACCACCTGGAGACTACCACCGCTTCTGGAGAAGCTCGGCCGAGAGCAAAAGTGTTGTCCAAAACCTCACACTTGCAATTTTTTCACGAGAGGACCGCGGGAATCTCTTGCTCGGTTCTGGGCCCGGGCCTGGCCCAAATCCTGCACCCTCGAAACCCTATCACCTAGGCATCAATCCCTAAATGTCCCCCCCAACAACTCTCAAAGCAAGCGCCCGAGTTCGTAGTTCCCGAGGTCCGCATCATGCTGGACACTTTGGAGCTTATGCGCCAGATTAATCCGGACTACAAGTTTGCCCCGGAGGCAAGACTCACCCACAAGCTGATCGCGGGTCCGCGGGCGGGGGTGGCTGGCTTCGGCTTAGGAATACTGAAACTCCTCAGAGTCACGAGTTCACATGTTGCATCCCAAGCCCAGATGCCTAAACTGCATGGGCCCCTACACTGCTGCTGAACCTCAACATCCCAAAGCTCTTCCACCTTCATCCCACATCTCCAAATCTCCAAGCACCAGCAGGCCCGATTCCCAATTTGCCAAAGGCCTGCATGGTCCATCTCGGCTTCAACTGCTCGAAGCCTTCCGAGGCAGGTTTTGTGGCTGCGAGTGCAGAGCCTTCAAGGTGCAGAGTTTCTTTGTGGGAGGTTGATATCAGTTGAAGTACGTTCCTGAGAGTTTTTTTTACGACAACAGGGCTAATGTAGATCAACCTCCATGTCAACTTGCGTTGTGTTTTCCCGCTCTGCCTCCTTTGTGCTTCTTGTGTGTGCCAAGGCCTCAGAAGGTGGCAGGGGCTCAGGTTACCCACTGGCCTTGTACACAAGCCATGGGTTCATGGTGCTAAGAGGGTTTGCGGGGTCTGAAGCCTTAGGCTGTCCAGGAATGCTGTTTGGGGGTTGCTTGTTGCTGCTGGGCGTCAGGTGGACGATATCTGCAACAAGCTGAAGGCACTGGGGTTTGGAGAACGATGTGGATGGGGTAGGGAAGGCTGTGTTGCCTTGGTAGCAGGGCAAGGCAAGGAGGATGGGGCAGCACAACTCCATAGGAGAGATGCGTCGTAGCTGCAAAAACACTTCCGCGGATGCAGCTAAAGATCCCCAGATCCCCGTTCGGCTGGTCAAGAAGCACTTTAGGTTGGTTTGGAACGTTCGCTTGGCGAGTGTCTTTGAGTAGCTTTTCGTGATGAAACCCCGAATCCCAAACCTCCCAAAGACATGAGATTTCCCAGACCCGACTCAGCCCGCGGAGTCGGAGTCGAGTTCATGTTTCCAGGCCGCAGGCGCCACATTGGAGAAGGAGACATGAGAGCCTGTGTGAACCTGAGGTGTCCACTCTTGGGTCCAGTGTGTCGCTTGATATTCGGCCTTAAGGTCTTAAGATGTTAAATTCCCTGGTGAGCCTGTGCTGTGACGTGCGCACTTCAGGATTCCACCACGTCACTGCGTAACAGCTGCGGCCTGAAAGACGGATGAGCAAGCGATGAACTTTACTAAAACTCATGTACGTAGGACCCTCCCGGGCAAGTGGAAGAAGGATCTCAATGCGCACCTCAACCCAACCCTCACCCAAAAGCCGGATTTCGATGCAAAAACACTTCATGGATCCTTGAAGAATCTTGCTCGACGACGAAGGGCTGACAGCTCACTTGTGGGGAAAAATCTCCAACCGCAAAGAACCCTGAACTCCGTTGAGCCCCAAATATGCTGCTGACCCTAGACCCTAAGCCCCTACAGAAGCCCCCAAACCCTGAACCCGAACCCTCACACCCCAAACCCTAAATCCCACACTCCTAAACCCCCAAACCCTAAATCCCACACCCCTAAACCCCAAATCCCACAACCCTAAACCCTAACCCCTAAACCCTAAAGAAACCAGGAGCCCTGGGATGCCTTCTGGGGCCAGCGCTACGCCACGCTTCGTGTGGCCGGGCGGCGAACGGCTTTTGGGGCTCTGGTGCTTGAGGGGCTCTTCTGCGCTTTAGGCCTTACATTACAGGGGTCTTAATAAAGCAATTCGTATACCATACTGTACCAGACTATACCATGCTATGCTTTGCTGTGCTATACCATACTAGACTACGATACTGTACTAGAGTCTGTTGTACTGTGCCATACTCCTTAAGCGCAAGAGCTCTGCTGCTTAGGAGCCTGCCTCGGGCGTCTTCCTCGACCTCTTTGCCGCGCTGCCCGAGGACGCGGATGCCAAGAAGCCAAAGACGTGAGGTGGCCCTGCACTGTGCCACTGTTTGCCCTTCGAAAGCCTTGAAATCTTGTGCCTTGCAGCATGCTTTTGCGCGTGCATGTTTTCTTGAGGAGGGGTGGACAGCAAACCTAGAAGTACCGGCAGAGACGGCACGGAAAGAGTTCACCTCAAGAACACATAAGCAGACACGCACGAACAGAAAGGGTCAGAACAGGGACGACTGTTCTCTCAAACCTGACAAGTGTCCGAAACACCCAATCGGAGTCCAACAGGAAACATCCAGACGAAATCCCAGCAACAGGAAGAGGCTCCCAGACGCCCAGATGCAGCATGATGCAAATCCCACCAGAAGATGTGTGTTCCCTCAAGCCGAGGCTATGGATCTTTACAAGCCAAGAAAGACCCCTGAACCCAAGCTGTAAAAGCATAAGCCCATCAAAGCAGTGTGTTGACTTGGTCGACATGTGTGTGGCGTCTTTGGACATGTTCACGAGGTTCAGGGTATGGCGGGTATGATCAGTTGTGGTGGCCCTGTGCTTTTGCCGGTAGCGTGCCAAGGGGACTGTTGAATTGAGTCCCGCGTCACGTTGTGCGCGTGCATTGCTTGAAGAGGCGTGCTCCCCATCAAGATATAACTTCATGCTTCCAGATAGGAAGCCTTGGAAAGTTGTGACTCACTGCAAGACACACTGAAGAGCACGGCACTGCCCTCCTAGTGCAGCTTCCCGGCTTGGCAGGTGTTGTGATTCTGGTCGTGCTGATCTAGCAGATTGTTTGATCTCCCGTAGCTGTCGCAAGCAAGAGGCTGGACGCGCATGCGAGGAATGTAAAACAGACAGCTTCGCGATGCCCTTGAGTCAATTGGAAGCTTGCAGTACGGATTCAGAAACCAGGCTTTGTTATTCATGTGCCCCATCCGAAGCCCCAAGACCCTCAAAAGCCTAGAGCCCGAAATCCGAAGCGCCAAAACGTACAAACCCCTGATGGTTTCCTTACATAGAAGGTTGAAGCATGGTGGCCAACTTCGATCCCCAGCGCAAGCACTTGTGCTTCCCGCCCTAAGCATCCTAACTTCAGTTCATCGGCATTTAGGGTTCAGGATTTTAAGACTTGGCACAGGGTTTAGGGCCTCCCATCCTGTTGGCAGCATTGAAGTCCCAAAGTCTGAGCCTCGAAGGCGGAGCCTGACCCAAGAGCTAGTCCCACGTTGGCAGGGGATTTGCAGTTTTTGTCTGCCTCACACCCCCCCAAGTCATAGCTTCTGACAGTAAGAAGTTTAGGATGACTGACGGGCTTAGTTCTCTGTCGCGAATGCCAGCATTTCTCGCTCTCTCCCTCTCGCTCTGTCTCACTCTCTGGTTGCTTGTTCATTTGCTCTCATCCAGGAGTACCGGTGACCACAACGTCGACGTGGGCACCTCCTCTGCGTCGTCCACGAGGCTACCGCCTCAGACCCTCTAAGACTCACAGCGTATTGGGTGAAGGGACTCACAGTGTTCAGGGATCATGCAACCTGAAGAATCAGACCTTGTCCAGAAAAAGATATTAAGACGCCAAGCCGTCCTTCGCGAAGATTGCCTCCCAGACTGCTGCAACCGAAACTTGGACGCCCCCCTGCCCTTGAGCCTTGAGAACCCCCAAGCCCTAAACCCTAAACCCTGAACCCTATGAACTCTAAACCCAGTGGGATCCCGAAAGTTCCTTGCGAGGCCACCAACTCCGCGTGCAGAGGCGAACGGAGCCGAGGCCGGGACCCCCCAATCGTTCCAAAATTGTTTTGGGTTTAGGGTTTTCGGCTTTAGGGTTTAGGGTTTACATCCCTAAATCCTCAACCTGGACCGCAAGGGTTTCGCAGGTCGTGCAGACTATCATTTCGGTGACAGCCTTGTTTCGGACAGGAACGTTTCTGTGATGAAGTGGTTTGCAATAGCTGTTGGCACGGCCCGTTTGCCACAGAGTCTTGAAGCTCTTCAGCAACCGATCGCGTGCCATCATTTCGCAATCGTTCATCATACGCAGAGTTCCGACATTACGACTGAGAAGCCCAAGTTCCAATGCAGAACATGCCTAATGCAGAGCCAAAGCCAAAAGCCCCATAAATCAATTGAACACCGCCGTGCCTTCTTGACGTGCCACGCAAGAATCCGAAGCGCAAAAGGTTTAGCTTCAGGGATAGATTGTGCTGGCGCAGAATTCATGAACCCTGGCATCATTTTTACACCTTGAACTCAGATTGCCTTGTTTGTTCCGTTCAAACCTCGGCAGGCAGCCTCTGAATTTTCCAAGACCTTCAAGTGTGACGATGAGGGAGCCGCATATCCCCTGATCCCGGCTGTTGGCAGGATCGCGGGGCGGATGCACAGGAGGACTCTTGCAGAATCTCGGGGGTTTCTGCATAGGGCCCCGATCTCTGCCCTGAACGGGGAGACGCAGTGGACTGGAGAGACTTCCGGGTGCAGAGTGCAGTTGAGCCATCGCGCCGGCACGAAAGTAGTCCACGCACCTGCCCATCTCCCGGTGCCCCTTGGTCAATATCCATTACCCCGCATCATGCAACCATACTCCCTTCCCCTGTGCATTGTGCTTCCCTTTGTCAAATAGGATAAACACCTGGTACAAGCCGAAGCTAAATGAATCCCTTTAAAAGCCGCCGCGAAAAGGACGGGGAGAGCGTTTTGGGTTGCAAGGCCCGGCCTTCGTGGAGGCTCGGTTGAGGGCTCAGGGGCCTTCAATACCTTAATATACTAGCACCCCCCTCCCCCCGGCCCCCGAAGTTTCAGGGTTTGGGGATGTTTGGGGTATATAGGAACTAGTTAGGGCTTTAGGGCCTTAAGGCTTCGCAAGGGTGCAGGGCTTCACAGGGTTGAGGGTTTAGGGCTTCTTGGCCTTGAGCTTCCCAAACCCTCACCTTCCCAATTTTCCTTAGATACCCCCGAAATATCCCCAAATGCAATTGTGCACCATGCGCTTCCGTTTTTTCAGGTCGACCTCCCCCTTCTGCGGCGCCGACGGCGATGACGAAGGTGCAGCGCGTTGTCTCTTGCTTTGTGTGCTCCATTTGCCATTCGGTTCTTCCCAGGGAATGTGTGTCTTGGCGTTGCGTGTTTGGGGCATGCAGGTTCCCCCAAGTCCCTACATGCAGTCATACAAAGTCCTAAACTCCTAAACTCACTCTGTTACCAAGGCTTTGGCGTCTCGAGTTGTCTGTTGGCCGAGCCAAGAATCAGAAGTCTTCGGAGTTCCTCACAACATCTCCACTCCTTTTCCTATCCACGGGCCAGGGTTTCGAGCTGAGGGCTTAAGGATGCTTATTAGCGATGGTGGGGTAGCATTTGGGATTCAGATGGCTTGAGGATGATAACCGTAATTAAATCCTTCAACCTAACACAAGATGCCTGGATGTGCGGACTGTGCGGAAGGAGCCGACAACATGGATGTCGCGAGGAACAACTCTCAAGCAATGCTGAAGAGGTGCCTCCATGTGCTGGAAGTTAATAGTCATTAAGCCCACCCCAGCACTGACCGCCACCCACTGGGGAGTCTTCACAAGGCCTTGCACAACAATGGTGGTGTTGCAATACCCAGAAGTCATAAGAACAGCAACCAGTCACAATGAAGTGACAAATTAGCGTATGATTATGGGTGATGATTCTGATGGTTTCCCCCCGAACTTGTGTGGACCCCAGGAATTAGGTTTCAGGAGACGCACAGTCCTTCTGCTTCCCGAGCATGATTTTGACAAAAGCTGAACCGCGGAACGGCGGGGCAGAGTCCAAAGTTTTCAGGGCAGAGTCCAAAGTCAGAGTCCAAAGTTTTCGGGTGTGGAGCACGCGAAGTTTGGGTTAAGAATTTGGGTTTCAGGGGTTCCAGGGTTCTAGGGTTTTAGGTCGAGTTGTACGGTTCTAGGGTTTAGAGTTTGGTCTTGCGCCGTCCTGGCTCATCCAAACCCCTAGAATCTAGACTCCCCAAATGTCTTCCCCAGCCCCCCCAACCCCCCAATAAATAATAACGATGGCAAGAGAGCATGAGAGTGAATTCCCTCACATAGAACCAGGCTCGCAGCTTTGCGAAGGCTCGCGCTGGGGTGTAGCACGGTGTGCTGCAGGTTCAGGATGCTTGGATGTCAAGTTGCTTTGTTTTTCTTTGGTTGCGCACCTCTCTGTGGGCAAGATTTCGAGAGGGCATTTGCTATTCTATTCTTATTACCATTGTTATTTTGAAGTTTCTTCTATTACGATAAGTAGTAATCGACAAGCAAGTACATGTCTACGGGCACGGGATCTCAAAGCCAAAAACCATTCGGCCCAAATGCCAAAATCCCCATGAATCCCACCGTTTTCCAGGGCTCTCGAGACGCCGCGAACCCGGTGAGGAGGTTGAGTTTAGGGTTCTTCAGAGTGTTGGGTAAGCCTTCCGGTTTTATGGTCATTTTACATACGTATTGAGCCTCCTGGGGTTTAGGGCCTGTTTGGTCTGGGCCTTTTTTGGAGGACCAGGTGTTCAGGGCTGCCGGAGGCTTCAGGGCTTCGCAATGTGGCGATGCGTGGCATGGCGTTTCAGGGACACTTTGCGCTTTGAATGTACATAGAAGGGTACCGCTTGTGTGTTAGGCGAAGGGTGGTATAGACGGTTGCGCCATCCTCGCAAGCCAGCATCCAACAGCTTGCAGGTTGCGGCATCTCTGTGTGTAATAAAGTGCAAGGCGTACATCATGGCACTCCTAGGACGAACGCGAAGGTAGGTAGGGCAGGACATGCAGGCACAGCAAGCGGTGGCCGCAAGCGAAGCGGCAGTGGGTCGGGGGGTCGCTGCTGCTAGTTACACTCCATGTCGGTTCAGAAGTATCCACTAGTACATGTAGGCACGTGCTTCGAGCAAGCAGAATCTGAAAGTCAGAAGCCTTAAGGCCCCTGTCCTTGCTTTTCAAACCTCGCCAACACCAAGCATACCTAGTTTAGTGCTTAGGCGTTTAGCGGTTTAGGCTTCTGGGTTGCTACATGGCTTTCGGCTGGGTGGCCGCTGCATCGGTGCTGTCGTCACTGGGAGCCTTTCTCTTCGGCTTGGACATCGGCATCTTTTCCGCAAGGATGTGGGCATAAGTTTGGGGTGTACAGCCGACGGGGAAGACGGCTGGTACCCTTGCTTTCATACTTTAGTTAAGTTCTTGAAGAAGCAAAAAGGGGCACCATTTTTGTTCCAACGTTATTAGGGTCTCCTTTATCATGTGATCCCTGTGGTCTAGTGCTGTGGGTGAGGGCTCAGGGATGTCATCTGATGTCAAGGCCCGTTCAGCACTTAAACTTAACTAGGAAGACTTGGGCTGCTCTCGCAGCATCGAGCCACCCGCAAAGTAGAGCACACCGTATCGCCACTGAACGCCTCTGACAAAAGAGCAACACAGCGAACTCCCCCCCGTGCGATCTTGATCCCTGAAGACCGAACTCCGAAGTGAAGTGCCCTAAACCCTCAACCGAGGGTACATCGCACCCATCCTGGAGTGTGTCTGAGAAAGCACTTCAGCACGCCCACGTCTGGGGGTTGACCAAGTTGCGAGTGCGTACACTGTCAATTCTTGAGATGCCGATGGCCTCACGGTCAACCAAATGCGAATGTTGAGCTACTCATCTCGCACCTCGATGGAGACTTGCCGTTAAATCTGGCTGTTTGTTAACCACGACTCACACTGCACTCAAGCCTAGGATGAGACGGAACTCTCCCAAGATCCCTGCTGTTGCCGCGAATCCCCTTCACCCCAAACCTCACGCAGGCCGACAACTTGCCCCAAACCCCGCCCGAAAAACCTGTTTCCGAAATACATCACTCATTCGCTGATTGTTGGACCCCCTCTTCACAAGGCAATTCCTTCAAGAGAGATGTGGCCAGATTGGAGAATTGGTCGGACCCACAGGCTTGCATGAACCCTCGACCCGAAAACGGTGCGCTTTCCATGCGGGATTCACAGGGTCTATCATCTTCTGAGGGTGCGCTGACCCTGGGCCGTGTGAAGAAGCCAAATTCTAACACCATACATGGACACAATCAATTCTTACAAGTGGAACCTTATTATCAGGGCACCCTAAGCAAGACCATAGCTTAACTGGTCATGGCCGGCCCCCCCCCCAACAAATCCCAACACCCCAACCCTCAACCTGACCCTAAATCCAAGCCTCCTTCGCAGTCGAAGATCCCGAGTGAGACTGCCGGCTTCATCGTCGGGGTCTTCTCGATTGGATGCATTTGTGCGACTGGGGCGGCCCTGGGCTTGGGGGGGGTTTCGGGCTTCGAGGCTGGGCTTCTGATGCTACGACCACTTCAGGGTTAGGGCCCCAAATGGAGGGGGTCCCCTTGAGACAGAGATAGACCCCAAGATAGGCTTGTCCATAGTAGCATAGAAAGCTCTCAACACGGGTACCCCTGTCTTGGGAAACCCCCACATATCGTTCGAGAGTTTTCCTAGGCCTGGGGAACCCTTAGCTAAACATGATGTTCATGCCGCCTGTAGCAGCAGAGGGAGCACGCAACGTAAGCGGCGCACCCGAAACCCTGCGTGCACCACGCAAAGCCCGAGCCCTGAACCGGCGTTCCAGAGTTGTCGGTTGTCGAGCTTTGCTTTGCGAAACCCTGGGCCCTAGCCCTTGCAGTCCCAACGAAACCAGCAGACAGAGTCAGGTGTCTTTCCCGCCAGTCAGCAGCTACTTCCTGGATGTATGGGGACGGCCGCTTAGTCGCAATCTGCCTTGGGCTCTGCCATGGGAGGTGAGGCATGGACTTAGGACCACGTTAGTAGATGACACTTGGTCCCCCATGGACCCCTTAATGGCTTACAGTGGAAACCTGTAGAATCTCCAGAAGCATATACCTCCATTGCCCTTACATATGTCTCGCACATTCAGCGTCACTGCTTTTGCTGCTAAAGAGAGAAAGAGATCGAGGTAGGTTATTTGGCGTGCCTGAACCTAATCAACCTCTATACCTTGTGATTTGATGCCCTTCAGCCCTGACCTGCCTTTTTCGAATTTGCATGTACCAGCATCTGACTGTCAAGATCCAACTCGAGAGCCAAAGGAAGGGATCCATTCTCCTTGGAAGCTTGATCTTTCTGGCTGGCTGCTGGGTCCAAGTGCGCCACGGGCTAAGATCTGAAAAGTTTGGCTCTGCGGGACTCATTTAGGTTAACGGGCAAGTTTGCGGTCTTGATCTTGTGCGTTCAGGACTAGCATTCTGCGCAAATTCGTTGAACACACCAACCGCACATGGAGGCTTAATTGTGGACCATGATTGAGACATTTGAATGGCCGTTTTCGCCCCCCCCCCCCCCCCCGCGGGCAAATTGGAGGGGCTTAGGATTCCGGGAGTTGAAGACGCTCCGCCGCTCCGCCTTGCGCGATGGTCGTGGTCCGTGTCACGGGCTTGGATGGGACCGTCCTTTTCGGCCCAGAAGATATCTCCGGAACGGCGGCGGAAATCCGGCTGCGGCTCCTGGCCAAGTCGACGGAAGACTCCGCCAAAATCTGCCTGCTACACCAGCATAAGGAGCCTGTTAATGATTGTTAAGTGGTTCTGCAAGTGCCTTCAGATGATGCATGCAGTTTTCAACCAGAGGAGCTGCGCCGCGATAGCCTCCTGGAGCTCATCGCGTCTGGTGCCGGTGACCCTCCGATTCTGGAGCTCACCGCCGTCCGAAAGCCGAGCGCGCGCCTAGAGCTACCTGCACGCACTCATCCCCTGCAACCTGTTGATACTGACTGCGCTCATGCATGCATACCGAATTGATATGAGCAGTGTCCATGCAGTTACTTTCCTGTTGCTGGCGCAGGCTTGCACAACTGGCGGAGCTTGCGCGCGAGAATGCGAAGAAGCGCGAGGAGAGGGAGGCCAAGCGCATCAGGCCCTCCGACAAGCAGCAGATGCAGGAGCAGAAGGAACACGACATTCAGGAGTACAAAGATGCCGTGGAAACCCGGCCCGACAGTGCACAACATAGCACTGTGCTCCGGGTAGCCACCAGGTTCTTTGTGACCCAAAACTCTGGAATCCACAGCCAGCGTATCCCCTCTCTTGATTCATGGAACCCCCATAGCCAAGCCGAATTCCACTTCAAGCCCCCACTACATGAAAGCTCAGAAGTAAGGAAGACTTGGTCCAACAGCTTGGGGAAGAAGCCTTGCACAAATGCCGCACCCGCGCCAGGCAAAGCCCCTTCAGTGCGAAGTTGCGCTTAGATGTGTCGCGCATTCTTTTCTTCCGTTTGAGCACGGTTTTGCATTGCTTCTGAAGCTTCTGCCGACTTTCGGAAATCAGACAACCCCAAAAGAGTGGACTTTTCAGCTATTTCATTCGGATCCATGCGGGCGTGTGTTTGAGGGTGAGCTCATCCCTTAGACCAGCCTCCGCAAATCCTGAGCCCTAAAGGCAAGGCCACAACGACACGGAGTTCGACTTTCAAGGCAGCCTGCAGGCCTACGAATTCGGCGCCAAGATGCCTGCTGACTGAGAGCCACAGCCTGACTGACTACTTCAGTTTAGAGTTGCCGGTTTCGGGTTTTAGTATCGGAGGATGGGGTTTCGGGTTTTTGGAACCCGAAAACGAAACACTGAAAGTCCAAACCCTAAAACTCCAAAGCCCAGGTTCTTTCGTTTTCCCAGAGACCTCCGAAGTGATCCGGCCATGCGCGGCTATTATCTCTCTGCTGCAGAACCGGACACCCTGGCTTCTTGGTGGCCTCAGGGGGTTTAGGTGGGTGTTCGGCTTTGATGGCTTTGGATGGGTTTAGATGGGTTTAGGGGCTTGCCGACTTTATGTGCTTAGGGTTTAGGAGCTCACCTTGTCGTGTACCAGAAGCTCTTGACCCACATACTCACAATGCCCCCCAGCAATGGCTGACTGCTCCTAGAACACATTCACTATATTTCTCATGAAGCCCCCAAGTCCCAAATCTCCTGCCCCCGCATCCGCTCCCATTTCAAGGAGTGCCCGGACAACATCCGAGTCGATATGTTCTCGTCTCCCGCCGGCCGCAAGTTCTTGCAGGAGCCGGGATTTTTCGGGCTGGGGTGCGGGATTTTCGGGTTGAGGCTGGGACTGGAGCTTGCAAATCCTCACAATCCCAGACCCTAAAGCCCGAGTGAGGTAAGCAAACCTTGTAAGAGGAGTTCCGGACTGGACTCGTGGAGCACCTACGAGGGATGGACCTCATGGCCGAGCCTCATAAGCACAGCATCCATGCGATCGTGATCTCCTGGAAGGAAGATGGGGCCGCCTGAGGGTCTCAAAGCCAGACTGGCGGGTTTAGGCTTTAGGATTCAACCACTATATGTGCGCCAACACCGAGGACCCCTTCAATGAAACCCTAGAAACTATGTACAAAATAAGCCCCCTTGCAGACCTCCTCACCCTCAGCCTTGACCCCATCAACGTTTTGGGCTTATATAGGGCCTCTAGGTTTAGAGTTTAGGGGTGGGTTATAGGAGTGTAGGGGCAGGCTTTTGCAGATGGATCCAGGCGCTTGCGCGGGCGTCAAAATGTGCGGTTTTGGTGGGACAAATGGCTGGCGGGCACAGAGGGAAGCAGCCCCCGAGCAACTCAAGACCTGAAGCTGTTTGGGCCCTTGGCTTCGAGCCTCGGAGGCTCTCCTATGTTTGCAGGGCTGGGCTGGGACTGTGGGAGTCCTCAAGCCCTAGAGCCCAAAGCCGAATGCGAAAGTCTTGTAGACTCCAACGCCCGACATGTGGTTTAGCTTAGGGCTTAGGGGCTTCGGAATCTCATCCCGCGAGCCCAGATCAGCCTTTTCAGGAAATTTGCTTGCAGCGAGACCCTCACCAGGGCACCTTAAATGGCAGAGAGCCTAAAAGGGCCCATGCGTTTGGTCAATGGGTTTATAGCCTGTTGCAAAGGTTTGTGCTTCTCTTTGCTCGACACGCGGCGACTTCTTTTCCAGGAGCCCTCCCTTCATACCGCGGGCGCAACCTCCGCCCTAAACCCTCAACCAGAAGGCCTAAGAAGGTGTAAGCCTAAGCCAGAGGGCCACCATCCCCATAAGCCCGGCTAAGCCACGCCCGAAGACGCTCCGCCGCTCCGCCTTGCGCGATGGTCGTGGTCCGTGTCACGGGCTTGGATGGGACCGTCCTTTTCGGCCCAGAAGATATCTCCGGAACGGCGGCGGAAATCCGGCCGCGGCTCCTGGCCAAGTCGACGGAAGACTCCGCCAAAATCTGCCTGCTACACCAGCATAAGGAGCCTGTTGATGATTTTTAAGTGGTTCTGCAAGTGGCTTCAGATGATGCATGCAGTTTTCAACCAGAGGAGCTGCACCGCGATAGCCTCCTGGAGCTCATCGCGTCTGGTGCCGGTGACCCTCCGATTCTGGAGCTCACCGCCGTCCGAAAGCCGAGTGCGCGCCTGGAGCTACCTGCACGCACTCATCTCCTGCAACCTGTTGATACTGACTGCGCTCATGCATGCATACCGAATTGATATGAGCAGTGTCCATGCAATTACTTTCCTGTTGCTGGCGCAGGCTTGCACAACTGGCGGAGCTTGCGCGCGAGAATGCGAAGAAGCGCGAGGAGAGGGAGGCCAAGCGCATCAGGCCCTCCGACAAGCAGCAGATGCAGGAGCAGAAGGAACGCGACATTCAGGAGTACAAAGATGCCGTGGAAACCCGGCCCGACAGCACAACATAGCACTGTGCTCCGGGTAGCCACCAGGTTCTTTGTGACCCAAAACTCTGGAATCCACAGCCAGCGTATCCCCTCTCTTGCTAGAATCTCCCATAGCCAAGCCGAAGTACACCCCAAGCCCTCTGACGTCAAAGCTCGGCAGTAAGGAAGACTTGGTCCAACAGCTTGGGGAGGAAGCTTTGCAAAAATGCCGCACCCGTGCCAGGCAAAGCAAATTCAGTGTGAAGTTGTGCGTAGATGTGTACGGATGGCAGAGACGCTGACAAACCCTAACAGATCTCAAATCTGGAGTCTGGAGTTTAGAGTGATGCCTGAACTTGTCTTTGGATACAAGCCAATTTTGCAAACTTAGATGCTTCTTTCCCTTTCATGAAAACATAGTCCAATACCTGAGTGTATTACATCTTCCCTTTCATTTTTGGAATCAGATAACCCTAAAAGAGTGGGCTTGTCTGCTTTCATAGGCCGTTCATGTTACGTGGATTTGCTCCGAAAATCCCGAGCCCTAAAGGCAAGGCCACGACGACACGGAGTTCGACTTTCAGGGCAAGCTGCAGGCCTACGAATTCGGCGCCAAGATGCCTACTGACCGAAAATCGAAGGGTATTTTACACAGCCACAGTGACTACTTCAACAGAGCCTTAATTTAGCCTTTCTCATTCCGATAAAGCAACCCTTGTCCCCAACCCTTCAAGAGCAACCGCGTGATGGGCCTGGTTGAGGTTTTTTTGGGTTTCGTATTGGAGGATGGGTTCCGGTTTTTGGGGACACCTCGCATCGGGACCTTGAGTCCTAACTAAGCCCTAGGCCCCAAACCCTCAAACCCTTGACCCGAAAACGAAACAGTGAAAACTCCAAAGCCCAGGTTCTTTCGTGGGAGCAGAGACCTCCGAAGTGATCCGGCTATGCGCGGCTACTATCTCTCTGCTGCAGAACCGGACACCCTGGCTTCTTCGCGGCCTAGGGGGGTTTAGGCGGGTGTTTTAGCCGACTCAGATGGTCTTGGATGGGTTAAGTTGGGTTGAGATGGGTTTAGGGGCTTGCCGGCTTTGTGGGTTTAGGGTTTAGGATGTCACTTTGTCGGGCAATCTGCCGATAAAAGAAGCTCCTAACCATGCCCACAAAGCTCCCCCTGCAATGGCTGACCGTTCCTCGAAAACCCCAAATCGCCTTCGCCTCATTTCAAGGAGTGCCCGGACAACATCCAAGTCGAAGGGTTCTCGTCTCCCGCCGGCCGCAAGTTCTTGCAGGAGCCGGGATTTTTCGGGCTGGGGTGCGGGATTTTCGGGTTGAGGCTGGGACTGGAGCTTGCAAATCCTCACAATCCCAGACCCTAAAGCCCGACTGAGGTAAACAAACCTTGTAAGAGGAGTTCCGGACTGGACTCGTGGAGCACCTACGAGGGATGGACCTCATGGCCGAGCCTCATAAGCACAGCATCCATGCGATCGTGATCTCAAGGAAGATGGGGCCGCCTGAGGGTCTCAAAGCCAGACTGGCCCTTCAATGCTATCAGTATATGAATATAATAAACCCCCTTGCCTATGACCCCTTGAACGCATTGGGCTTGTCGCACTTCTAGGTTTAGGGATGGGTTTAGAGGTCCTCTGCAGATGCCCTCTCAGAACCTTGCCAACGCAGTGCGGCGTCAAAATGTGCGCTTCTGGTGGGTCAAATGGCTGGCGGGTTGCCAAAGCAGACCCCTAGCAACGCAAGACCTGCAGCTTTTGGGGCCTGGAGTGGTTGTAGGGCTTAGCTGGGAATCCTCAAACCCTTAGGCCCCCAGTGCCTACTGCGGAAGCCTTGTAGACTCGAACGTCCAAAATCTGGTTTAGGTTCAGGGTTCAGGGTGAGCAGCTCCATCCTTTGGGCTTTCAAAGGAACAGTGTGTCGTTACTCAGTCGGCTCACTTGGGAAATGTGTTCAACTGTAGCTTGGGACATGGGACTGACCGTCAAGTCGGGTAATTTGGTGCTGAGTCAGGGGTGCCTGACACAGAAAGAAAGCCCAAGAAGACCCAGTCAGAAAACAACCAGGACTCCGGACGAGATCAACTTTACCCCGGCAAACTTTAGGGCTCTTCGGGCAAGGCTTAGGGTCCTTTTAAGCTTGAGTGTTTGTAGTCAGGGAGGAGCCCGAATCCGAGAATCCACAAACTGCAAGGCAGTTTTATACCTCATGCTCTCTGGCTCGTTTTCTGAGACTCAGGCCCGCGAGAGTGTTCAGACTGGGTGGCTTATGCCTTCTAGTTTGTCCATGTTGTTGTCCTTGCCGAGGCGCGGAATCTGTGATGATGATTTGCATTGGCCGACTGACCCATGGATGCATTTCAAGGCTTTGTTGCTGCGAGGCGCATGGCATGCATATCGGCAGAATCTGCATCGGAAGCTTGGACTGTGCTGCCCTGGACCATAGATCGCACGTACAGAAACTCCGCTCCACTGCTTCCCAAACAAGCATTTCGCAATCATTACCCAGAACATCGCAACCAAATCTCGATAAACGACCCTGCTCAACTACTTTAGGGCCCATGTGTTCCAGATGAAAGGGCTTCGGGACCCTTCGAATTCAGAGAGCCTCTGCCCCGAAGGATCTCCGGCTGCGCGATCGGCCTCCTCAGCACTGTGGTCGCGCTCTACCAAAGCGAGGCCCCGGGACTCACACAGCTGAGGGTTGAGTTGCGGGAGGGGTTAGGGTTAGGAAGGGTTGGGGGTGTGGTTAGGAGGGGTTGCGTGGGGGTTAGAGGGCGTTAGCCCGTGGACCTCACAGTGAGTTGACAGGCAGGTCTTGTTTTTTTTGGGTTTTCGGGACTTCGTTCTTAGAAAACAGCTCGGGCTTCCCCTCTTGTGCCGCTTTGAGGTACGTGGTTCTTGGCTTTTGTTTTGCTTGTCTGGAAGGTATCAGGGTTTGAATTTACGGTTGAGCGTTCTGTTTGGGGAGGGAGTCGGGGTGAGCCAGCAGTGGCTCCAAGAAGCAAGTGCCAATGCTCCTGACGCCTTTCTGCATTAGTACCGCGGCAAAGATTGGAACACGACGTTCGCGACCAAAGCACACTACTGCCGAAAAAGAATGTGCAAGCTTTTGACAAGAGACCTTCTGTTGACGTCGTCCTTCAACAACCTAATCTTCAGTTTGGGGTTCAGGCGTTTGGGGTTCGGTGTTGAGGGTTTCGGGGTTTAGGCAATCGAGCGCGAGAGGTCGCTCCGGCGCACCTGCGAGGAGGCTTAACCTCTTTGTACCAGCCACCTGGCTAGGGATGTAGAGCTTCCGGTGTACAGAATCCTGGGGGGGGGGTTGCAGAATTCGCGATGAGGATTGCAGGTGTTTGATCAGGGTTGGACTTGATACTGCGGAGGTAAGTTCAAGAATTGGGGGAATGCTTGAAGTTGATGTGCTCTCGCCTTACTTGAAGGCAGGAAGGGGTTGACAAGCGGGCCCAATGTTTCCGAAGGTGTACATGTCATGGAGTGAGATCATCCCGAAGGCCCCGAAGCCCTAAGCCCCCAGGTCCAGTTCCATCGTCTTTTTGCACAGGAAAAAATAAACCCCCATGGCAAGGCAGCAGGATTCGGATTTTTTCTTTGCACGCATGCCAAGAGCCAAGAGCTCGAAGACTCAGTCGAAGGTTCATGATCACCCTCGGGATATTGGTGGCAGCGGCGGTGGATGTCCCCCTCGTGCAGCGGGATGATGGGTGGAGGCGTTCCGGTAGAAGGGGAAAGGTTCTGCCAGTAGAGCCCAGTAGAGGTGGGAACTCGAGCTTAACAGTCTGGGTTTGAGTCTGCGTTTGGGAGTATCGGAATAACACCTTCAAGATTGCTCTAGACCCATGCCGGCTTCCCTGTTTCGTAATCAACATTCTACTGATCTTTTGACAAGTTCATGCAGTCCTGGGCACCCTTCCGTCGCAGCACTGCTTTGCGGGAGCCGGCTGCCGCAATCACGTAGCATCGGAAGGAGCAAGAATAAATTAAGACTGCAGCGTCAAAAGCAGCTGCTCAACAAGGGTCCAAGACTGATTGTCCACGACAGGAATACCCCACAGAAGTTCATAGTTTTTGTATTGAAAAATCTAAATCCAAGCTTCAGTTCGTCGACAAGAACATCTTCCCCATGTCGTTTCGTCGCTGTAGAACAATGTCAGTTTAACTTGCTCGTCCGAGCAAGTACGCCAGCACCCCAGACCATCAAATGTCCTACTTGCTGGTCTCACTGCTCACGGGCACACGAGAGCCGGACGAGCAAGGAGACGTGGCGATGTCGTTTGCAATGGTGCAGTCGGGCATGCTTGCGTAGCAGTCTCCGTCTCGCACGGCAATTTCATTTTGTTGATTGATTTGGTGCGTGTGCATTACGACACGAAACAAGGCAGACAATAAATAGAATCTGTTGGCGTTCCATGGAAGGACCTTGAAAGCTTGGGATGATGTGCTGTTCATTGCTGTTCCAAGTTCCAGTGCGACACTGACAAGCGTCTTTCCACACAGGAGCGAAAAGGCCCTAAACCCCCAAAGTCTTGACGCGTTTGGCAGGCTGGCCATTCTTCTGCAGGCCTTCCCAGCAGTTGTTCTTTTGTTCCCCAGCTGTGACCAGGGGTTGAAGGTCAGGGTGTAGATTTCAATCTCCGAGATTATTTGTCAGCATGGCAGGCTTTGGAGCCTTAGTGTTTAGGGTTGAGAGTTGTGCGCCCCTCCGACGACATTGTAAGGTCGATGCTTGGCTTCTGTGGAGGGCTGTTAGCAAAGGGAGGAGCACTCGCCATCACACCATCAAGCGGCATCTGCAAGTTCAGCACATACGATAGCAGAACCTCTGATTGCCTGATTGCTTCTTGGCGGGTGTCCCCTACACCTTATCAATCTTTAGATCCTACCCGTCCTTCCAGCCGAGGGTGGGCATGTTTTTTCTTCCTCGCTCTCCGCGATGGTTGGTGCAGAAAGGCTCAGTGGCTTTAAGGGGTTTAGGTTCAGGTTCCAGGCTCATGGTTTTTGGTTTTGGAGATAGGGCTCTGGGGTTCAGGCTTCAATCTGGTGCGTGTCAGCTCAGCACGGCGTTTAGGCAGTAGGTTCATTCTTGTACTCACCCAGTGGCAAGATCCTGAGCTGATTAGTATAAGAACCCGAAGTCTGAATATTCGCGTCGTGGTTGGGAACCCCCTGCCGCTAACATGAGGTCCCCCCCCCAAACCAAGGAAAAGCTAATACATTGCACCTCGCGCCAATGAGATCTCTCTCGCAAACTGCCGCCCTACTCCCGAGCAAGGGCGGATCAACGAAGCTCAAGATGTTCTCGTGAAGTTGCGTGGGGAGAGCCTGAGCCTGCAAGAAGAGCCGACAAACCAACGCCTCGATGGTGCCAAACTCAGGTTGGAAGGTTGGAATCCGTTGTTCAGGCTAATCAGGCTTGTTTTCTACGGGTGTGTTCTATAGTGTTCGGTGGTTTTCAGGGTTTAGCTCAAGCCCTACATCCTCAGCCTGACATGCAAGATGCGCCTTCAAATTTCATGCCATACCTGTCCTAACATTCCCGAGGGAACCGTGCCATTTCGCCAGCTTTTCAACATTGCGCACCTTGGGCACCAGGCTTTCCACCTGTGACCCTCTAGAAGTCCTATGCAGGTGTGTTCCCAAACGACCCAAGCAGGGACGAAGGAGACAAATGGAAACGTGCACCCACCTCAACCCCAAGAAGTCGACCTCCAAAACTCTGACAGGCGGCCACAAAGGCCACCACTCAACACATGGGCCTTCAGCTCCCACTTCCTGCCTCACCTCTTGTCTCCACTATTGTCTGCCCTGTTGTGTTTCTCTCTTTTGGGACCAAACCGCATTGCGGGTTGACGCGCCCCCCTTCTTGCCTCTCTTCTTGTCTCCCTGTTGGAACCAGATGCGGATTGGCTACTGTTTGGAACCAGAGCCGGATTGGGAGACACTCTGCATCGGTGGACACCCCCACTTCCAGACCCGACGTATCTTCAGGGTTTGGGTTTGCAAGGTAGGGCTGGTAGGACGTACCCCAAATGGCCAATCTTGAGTGGGATGGGCCATGCGAGCGTGTAAAGGCTTAGTGGATTTTGGGCTTCGTGTTTCAGATCATTGTCTTGTCCATTGATCTCTTCTTTCTCGGGTCGGCGGAGAGGTCGTCGTTGCTTACAAAATTAGCTAACTCTCAACCCCAAAGCCCTTGAAAGCCTGCATTGTCCTCATTGTGCTCTGCACAACTAGGACTTCGTGCCCAGGAAGGAAGCTCAGCGTGAGTTGAAAGACATCGTGCAGAGCTGGCAGGAGACTGGACAGGACGAGGCAGGCACTTGTTTGGGCGTCTGTAGAACCGAAGCCTCGAAGATGTGTTAGAACCCCCCGCCCCACCACCATCATCACTCATGCAGACGAGCCCGAAACCCCAACAGTTTAAGACAGGCTTTTGTGATTTTTTCGGAACTTCCCGAGGCTGGAGGGCGGTTGGGGAGCTGTTTCGGCGTGTGGGAGAGATCTTCGACTCGAGCATTTGTGGTTATGTTTAGAGAGGCAAGCTGGGGCGTCGTCCCAGAAGCTGTGAGGTCAGCTGGGGAGAGTTGGCAACTGGGCGAACCAAGCAGCTTTTGATGGCTGCCCGGCATGAGAGCGGATCGCCATGCACAGAGGTTGCACCTTAAACCTCAACCCCGTTCTAGGGTGTTTGGTTTTCGGGTGCCTTACGAATGCGCCGAGTGGTTTGCCCTTGAGATCTTTGGCGAAGTCAGGTTGGAATCGCCCTTCAACTGCTGCAGCAGCTGGTGGGTATGAACGCCCTGATGCACCTGGCCTGGAGGATCCCCGCGAAGCACCAACCTTGAAGAATAAGCAAAAAGCAGCCAACTCCGGACGCAACGAAACCTCAAGAACCGCCACCATCGAGGTACTTTGGGCCGCGCATCTTCCGAACTCTTGGTCTCCAGGAGAACACGTTTCAGGTGCGGTGAACTCTTGAATTCTTACTGTGAACTATCCGAACTAACAACTAATTTTTTTGGGGGCTATGGATTAGATTAGGCCTCATGTGTGGGTGGGGTCTTCGGGTTTGATCCATGTCTACATCAACTCCTTAGAGGATTCCAGTGCGGGGAAGCCAGGTTCCTACTCCAGGGCTTTGTATAGGGGTATGTAAGGAGTTCATTCAGACTACTCGTATCGCTAGCAGGTTCAAGTTTGCATGTTCTCGGCTTTCGATGCTTCGCACACTCCGGTACTTGAGGCTCGGGTCTGAATGTTGCAGGCATCCTATCCCACAGGTCTCGAAGGGCCTCGGGGCCTCGACTTAAAATTCCCAGAGGCCGTGAACAACGCCGTGAATTGTCTGTCCACGCTGCCGTCGCTGTATCTCGCAGACCGCTGCGGACGTCGCTGCTTGCTGATTTGGGGCGCCAAGGTTGGGCCGTTGGGGCTTTGTGATGCTTCGCTTGTATGTTGTAGGGTGGTTCAGGCTAAGGAGCAGTCGAAGCCTAAGTGAAGGTGAAGGAAAACGATTCAAGAGGCAGATAGAGGCAGGTATGGCGACAAAATCGCTGGTTTGAGGTAGTGTGGGGGGGGGGGGGGCGGGGGGTTGGTTGCAACAACGCAATGCGAAGTTGTTAGTGATGAGTGCGCATAATCGTGCTTCACACGGCCCGGTCACAGGTGGCATCGCCCAGCATTGTCTTGTCTGCTAACCCGCTTCAGATTCCTCCTCTGAACCATAAGCAGAACTTGCCGATTCAGGGCCGGGATCTTCGTGTGAGGCCCGTGAGGTGAGCTTAGGACGTCGCAGGCACTCGGATTTAGTTTGGTTGGGCGTTCCTCTACGCTCCTGCAGCTGACCTTGGCCCATGTGGTGTAGGCTTGCTTCTGCTTAGTGACCGCTCTTATGTTCAAGGATTCATATGTCGTGAGGATCTTGGGCTTTGTTGAGGAAATGTCGGGTTTCAGGCTTGTCTTGGTTCAGAGCTAACGTTCAGGGCTTCCGGTGATCAAACTTGCGCCAGGGCATGATCTGCTCTTGCTGCATCATCGGTGCAGTTGGCTCCTTTGCTTCCTTTGAGGACAGGCCGGAAACTCCCCTCACAACAGTTGCGAATTCCCCCCGTCGCGCACGTCTCATGCCCCCCCAAAGCATCTTATAAGCTTTTTTCCCATTCCCGAAGCATGTGACCGTCACCCTGACGCCTGACGCTGCACATCCCGGAGGACAGGCAGGGAGGCAAAGGGACACCTGCAGCGTCCTATGCAGCTTGGCGCTTGCGGAGTTCCGATTCTGGGCTTGGACCCAGGACACCCCCCCTCTGCACGGTGCAGCCTTAAGCAGGTTCACGGCTCCCAAGGACCCTGTTCAGCGATGTCGCAGTTGCTTAAAGCCTGCTTTCATAGAGATTCCTTTGTTAAGGCTACCAAACAAGAACTTCTGTGACATTCCGACATTCCCTCCCCCCTCCCAAGGTGACGGTAGCCATGGTCTTCGCGTTCGTCATCAACTTTGCCTATGGCTGGGGTCCCATCGCCCGCGCCCCAGGGACAGCGCCTTCGTTGCGGGACCGTGACAACCGTAAAAGCCCGAACCTTGAATCCTAGATTCGCCCTCATGACTAAAATCTTAGCCTTACACATCTTACACCCTGGATTTGGACTTACCAAGCTAAAGGGATCGCCGAAGCTCTTGGAACTGGATACTAAGTAGAATTTCGGAAAGATGTTTTCGTTCATTTTTGGGCTTGCGATTTTTAGATTTATTACGTGAATTATGCTCTGCAGCTCCCTTGCGCAGTCTCCCTGAGCAACAGTGAGCGCCACAAGACCGTTCCTTGAACTGTGAAGTTGGGGAACCGACCAAGCACATACAGTGGGCCTTCAGGAACCGGAGCAGGCCTACCTTTTTTCCCAAAGGGTCGAGGCTTTAGGTGTCAGTGGATAGGGCATGATGAGGCCTCACTCTTAAACCATAGGTCTCTGCCGTGAACACCCATTGGCCCTTCCCAGACCGGAGATACCGGTAAAACCTCTCCACAGGTCTGGGTGTATTGCGCGGAGATCTTCCCTCTCCGCAGCAGGAGTCGGTGCGTGGGCGTCACCACCATGTCCAACTGGATCGGTCGCTCACCTGTGGTTTAGGGCGGATGCGGAGTCTTCTATTATTCTGGGTATTCCTTTATTTTGGTCACGTGGATGAATCGTGGTTCGGGCTCGGTGGCCGTGGATCACCGCAAGTACTGTGGTTCCATTCGACTCGCTTGCAGCTCAGGGCAAGGATTTTTCTTCAGGGGCTCGTGAGTGGCTGCAGGCGAGTTTGTACAGATTTTGCTTGGTCCGGTCCGAGGAAACTATCTCATCGCGCAGCTGTCGCCAGCTGCTTGCCAGAAACTAACTTCAGTGAGTCGGTAAGTAGGTGTGTGTGTATAAATATATTGCTAAATATGAGCCCGAGTCAAACTTCTTGTGAGATCGAAGAGGTTTCCGTCTTCTGCTTGTTCCCTATCGTTCTGCATGCCAAACGGTACTGCGAACGGTCGATGCGGTCATCATCTTGTTGTAGAATGTTGGGGTGGTCTGTTTTGCACGTGCAACAGCTACCCAAACGTGAGTTGCAGTCCATCCCGTTCAAACTCATCTTCGATATATTTACAGCCGCTCGTATCTACGGGTATGCATGCGCACACATGTGCATACTTATGTATATTGCATACACACAAAATATGTATAGGTACGTACATGCATCTTTTGTTTGCGTTGTTGCATCGATACTTGCTCTGCAGCTCACTCTTGACTCATCCCATCAAGGCATCAGGCGCGAAAGCACTGTGACCACCGTTGTCCTCAAGCCCCCCCCTTCTAAACTCCTTGAGCCAATAAGCCTCGAGATTCTGAAGCCCAAATTCTCTTGTCCATATGACATGTAAACCAACTGAGCTCAACTGAGCTCTTGAGGTCCTGCTTGAGAGCCTGGGGCTTGGCAGCTTCTTCGTGTTTGCTGGATTTGCCGCCGCAGCTCTGGCGCTGGCGTGCTGGCTTCCAGAAACAAGGCCCCCAAGAACGGTCCCGCTCTCTGTCCCTCTCTTTGTCTCCCTGTGTGCAGCTGCATCCGGAACTAGAAGGCTTCTCTTGTTGGTGCATCTTCATCATCTACAAATTCGTACATGTTTCCCATATATTGATAGATTCTTACGCTATAACGGAAATGGCCCGAAATCTGTATCAATACTGAACCGAAGAAGCCTCTTACACAATCTTGAAAGCACTGGGTAGTCGTATGTGGTGTTTGCTGACTTTGGGGTACTTCACGGATTTGCCTTGGACGTCGCTTTTGGCTAAGGCATGGAAAAGGGTTTTGGTTTGGTTTAGGGTTTATGGGCTTAAGGCTTCTGAGGTTTAGTTGTAGTTTAAAGTTTGGGGGCTCTGCATTGTCGTTTCACTGCGAGACACATGCAACTGGCGTCCCGGTACAGGGGCGTTGCCTTGGAAGACATCGAGTCACGTGGCCGACGGATTTGGGTTTGAGAGTCAAAAGTGTTGCGTTTTCCGAGAGTCGAGTTCTGGACTTGTGGGCAGAGGCCCTGAAATCCTTCAGTCCCAAGAGCCCTTTTGGGGCTTGGGCTTGGGGTTCTTGTTCTTGAGACCCCTAAACCCTAAAAACCCCTGCAACTCCAAACAGAGGTCCCTCTTCGAAGAGCGCTTCGGGTCTGCGGCGGCATCAAAGGCACCAGCTCAGACCCTGGAACCGAAGAATGGCTTTTGTAGGGTTTATAGGGTTTATGCTTTGTGAGTGGTTCATAGGCAGTGCCGGGTTTGCAGGGTTTATCATTCGCAGTAGGATTGTGTCTGAGGCCCATGAGGGCTGTTGTTCCTGGGTGGTTGTAAGTAGCTTTGCCTCTTGTTTGTTTCGTTCTTCGAGGCTGTGTGCTCGGAGATGGGCACCACTAGCCCAGAAAAGGTTGAGGGTTTCAGACCTTTGCTAACCTCCCAAGCACCAGTCTATACAGCAAGGCCCAAAGTCCCTGTTCAATCCCTTCAGCTCAGGACCTTTGGTCTGCAGCAGCCTGCGGAGGAGATCTCCGGCCTGGTTGGCATGGAGGAGTCCCTTCCAGAACCCCGAAGTCGGAATCGGGCTGAGGGGCGAGTTTTATCGCGAGTATGGTGGAGTTTGCTTCTGTGCTTTCACTTCTGCCATGTAAGGGTGTTCGGGTTTCCCAAGACTGCCAAACTTCTGAAACCATGCGGTGTTAGGGTGCTTTGGTGTCAAGATGTGTCAAAGAACTTTGCCTTGGCAAGACAGAGGAAGTCAAGTGCCGCCTTGTTTCAAATTTCGAGTGCCTGCAAGAGAGGCGCCAGCCATTCAGAGGGCCTGTCTTGTCTAGCCGTTTCGCTGCGTCGCTGGGGTTCCAAAACGGCCGACCATAGCCCCAATACCCTCAGAAGGACACGACAACCGCTGCGACGTCTCCGACAACAGGTGCTCGGATTGCGTGTTCAGCGGTTGCCAAGTGAAGGATTCCGTGCAGGTTTGCAGTTTCAGCCGACAGTGCAATGGCATTATCGAAAGACGAGGCTGAGCCTTCACGGCGGCCACTGACGACCGGCGCATGGTGCACCTTTTTGCCAGTGCTCATTTTGCGGCAAGGCTGCATCAAAGTTCCGCGGGGTCCATGATTCCATGATGAGGCCTGGGTTCGGAGGTCAGGACTTTGTGACACTAGCGCCATCCCGGCTGGTGGAACAGGTGCAAAGCCACGGCACCCGTGAAGGGGTGCTAGAGGCCAGCGCCGATTCTGCCAGAGGGCTGATAAGAAGCTCCATTGCAGGTAGCGCGAAGGAAGCCTTACTGGAATCCTTACTGCCCCAGCCGTGTTCCAAGTGTTAGCCTCAGAAGGCTCACGAGCAGGCCTTGATGCCCAAAGGTTTGGGGAGTTCAAGAACTGTGGGTTGAACTGTGTGAGAAGGCTCATGGAGGCGGTCAAGGGATTTCGATTGAGGACCCCTGACGGCCGAAACAAAAGCGCTCATTCTTCACGTGCTCAAGCAGCTGGCAAGCAAGAGGTCTGACCCGCAAGGTGTCATGCACGAAGCAACTCCAGATCTAGGATCCCCCCCCAAGGGCGGTGCGACGGCGGTGTGGCCAGGGTGGAGTGACGGAGTTGTGACATGATCCACATAGACCACGCTCCCATGAGGCCGGAGGGACCTCCCGCGCCTGTCATGCAAGAACCTTTCTATCAGAATGGGCCGCCGCCGACGCCAGATTACCTGAAAGAGTACAGTTGATTTATGGCCCCGCGTCGGACCGGAAGAGCGTAACACCACGCGACGCTGATCAGCAACGGGAGTCCCGGGAGGAGCTAGTGCCGCAACCTTTGGTGCCTCGACAGCAACAAGCTGCGACGTGGCCTTCCCTCGCGCAGGGCCCGATGATGGAGATCAGATTTGGCCAAAGCGATGGTGTTTGTTGCTGCTAACTGTGACGCAATCATCGCACGGGCATGGATGCTCTGGCCAATCGCACGCGCAGAGGCAACATGGACGTGATCATCGTGCAGGCTTGGATGCTCTGCCAATTCGCGCGCTGGCAACATGGACGTCATCATCGGGCGGGCATGGATGCTCTAGCCACTCTAGCCATTCGCACACGCAGGTAACGTGGACGTAACCGCGAGAAGGGAAGCGAGGATGTGCACCTGCGTGAGCGAGGGTGGTTTTTTTTTTCCGCGCCGCAAGCCTGATGGAGGGCTTCAAGCATTTCGAGTTCTGGACTTGTGGCTCCGAGGCCGCCTGATATCCTAAAGTCCCAAAGCCCTTTGGGGTTTTGGCTTGGGGTTCTTGTGACCGTTAAGCGCTGGAAACCTGCAACTCCAAGCAGAGGTCCCTCTTCGACGAGAGCTTTGGGTCTGCTCGGGCGGCGTCAAAGGCACCAGCTCAGACCCTGGAACCGCAGAAGGGTTTTTGTAGGGTTATAGTTGCAGCCATAGGGTGCGTCCTTCCTCCCGAGCTTCGGGTCACGATGCTGAGGGGGGGTGAAGCTCTGACGCCCCACGAATTCACGAGGTTTTCTTGCCTGCATAGGACAGTTACGTGCAAGCTTATACTTCTTATGTCGTGTCATGGCCTTTCGCTGCTTTGCTCGGACAATGTCCTGGGCCTAGAAACCTGCAGCTGCTGGGATCACTGAAGTGGAGGAAGCAAAGTAAGAGCCGCCTCAGAACCCCGAAACTGAATCTGATTCTTAAGTGGCTCGAAGCTGCTGCAGTTTTGGTTCCAGCCAGCCTTTGGAGTCTCCCCTCCTGATTCCAGTCTCTCGTGAAGTGATGGGCTGCTGCAGTTTTCGCTCCAGTCAGCCTTCAGAGCCTCCCCTCCTGATTCCAGTCTCTCGTGGTTGCTGCCCCCCAGATTCCTGGCCAGCTTGCCAGAAGCCGGATGACTACAAGCCCAAGGGCACAGAGACAAAGATAGGTGAGCTGCCAGTGTACAGCGTGGGCACCGGAGACAAGGCCATCTTGGTGCTGCCCGACATCTTCGGCTGGTCGTCCAACCAGGGTAGGCTCATGGGCATCGCAGACACCCTCGCCGATCAGGGGTACCGAGTGCTGCTTTCAGACCCCTTCTACGGAGATTCTGCCGTAGGGAAGGAGGATATCATGGGCTGGGTTACACAGTTTCCTTTTGAAAAGAGAATCGGTGCCGACATCGAGGCCTGCGTAAAGCACCTGCAAGATCAGGGCTGCACCCAGGTGGGTGCAGTTGGCTTTTGCTGGGGCGTCTGGGCATTGTGCAAGTCTGCCTCCATGGGTGTGCTCCTGAAGTGTGGCGTCGGACCTCATCCCAGCACACGACTGGAAGGGGCATTTGGCGGAGATGAACAGGCAATGATTGACAAGGTCAACATCCCAGTGCTCATCATGCCAGCTGGGAACGACCCTGAGAACCTCAAGGAGGGCGGCGCGATCGCCGAGTCCCTGGCCAAGAAGGGTGGAAAGTCGGTGACATTCCCGGACATGCAGCACGGCTGGTGCTGCCGTGGCGACCTGGGTCAAGCGGAGGTCAAGCGGGATGTGGAGGCAGCGATGAAGCACATGGTAGACTTCTTCAAGTCCAACCTCTGAGCTGTGGGCTTGGTCTGCGTAGTATGGATCATGGACATTGACTCTTTACTTTTGAGAAATTTTCCCCCAGCCACAGAGCTCGAGGGATGTTGCAGCAAAAACGAATCAGAGCCACCTGAGGTTGAAGAAACTTTGTATAGTTGAACAGTTGTCGAAGTTGAACCTCGCTTGTGGACGTAGTTGCCGGCCATGCGAGAGGGGAAAAATCTTTTTTTTTATCCCGAAGACAAGAAACACCTTTTAACGAGTCCTACCGTAAGCAACAGAGCTGAAGATGCATGCGCTGGATGTTTTTGGGCTGCCGATCCGATCCACAACTGTACAGAAAGCGGGGTGAAGCTCGTGAAGCTCTGACGTCCCACGAATTCTAGCAGCGACCATTGGTGGCATTGCCTGCCCACCAAGCTGCACATGTACAGATGCATACTCGTAGATGAGTATGACAGTATGAGGAAGAGCTGCCAGCAAATGTTCCTGTACAGCAGGAGAAGACCATCAGCTCCCATATTTGAGCTGACTGAGCCAGCTGCTTTGCCATTACAAAAACCGTACCAGCTTTGTCATGTTGCCAGGGTGACGTGTGAGGGCACATTGCTCAGACGCATCCCGTGAACCGATTGCAGATCTTGTGCAGTTGAACCCTTCTTCGCTGAATCGGTTTATTTTTGCTGGAGTTTGTCTTGTTGCTTATGTTGAACTAGGAAATAGGTGAGATGTCTTCGTTGCAGCCGCAGTAGTTGCTCAGTATTGCTCTCGGCGTGTCCTTGTAGCTTGCCTCAGCTATGCTAAAAACCGCCCTCGTGGTCAGCGTGAAGGCTGTGGCAAAGATCGTGCTTATTTGTGCGGGCGGAGCCTACTTGGAGAAGAGTGGGGTCCTTCACAAGGAGATGCGGAAAGGCGTGTCGGAGGCTTTCGTCAAGCTGCTTTTGCCATGCTTGCTCTTCACCCGGATCTTGCCGACGATGTCTGTGGAGACGTTACCGAAGCTGGCCTGGCTTGCCATGGCGAACCTTTTGTATGTCTCGTTTGGGCTATGCATAGGATATGTGAGCGTTCTGCTCACAAAGCCGCCACAAGGCTTGCGCAGGGTCCTAATGGCGACTCCGGCTATTGGGCACGCAAACTCCATCCCTTTCATGCTCGTCTCGTTGATCATGGCGGACGACCCGGCTTTCAATCCAGACGATACCAACACAGCGCAGGGATATGTTGGTTTGTATCTGGTTATGCACAGCATCACCCTGTGGGGTGTTGGAATGAACGTGATCAAGAAGGAGAAGGAAGATGAGCCTCCTTTAGCTCATGAGACTACAGAAACCCAAACTCCACAAACTCTGGGTCGACCAGCCAGTATCTCGGCACCTTCCCAGAGCACTGGTGGCCTTAACATGAGCGAGGCACGTGAAGAGCGCTGGTCTCGTTCCATCTCCGGCTTGGAACTCGGCTCCCCTATCTCCCCTGTGACGACCAGGCCCAACACGAAAAATCAGCACTTCTCCTGTGATCCAAGACCTTTGCAGAGGTGGGAAGTCAAGAACTTGAAGGGACCTTAGCCTCAACAGAGGATCCTGATTAAATTACTGTCCGGATCCTTTAAGGTTTCCGGATCTCAGAAATGCCCTGAGGTTTGTCCCAAAGTGGGTCAATCGGCCCATGGCCACAGCCGTGCTCACTGCTCTTGTCGGGCTCATCCCGGGCTTAGAAGAACTTTTGGTGCCGGCTTCTGGGCCGCTGACACACAAACTGCACTTGGCAGCTTTTCCCTGTCCTGCGGTTGATGATATAAATCCTGCATTCCCCATAATCAAGAATATACCATAATTCCCATAGTTTAGGGTCCTCAAGGTAATGCAGGATTTGTATCATCAACAGTATTGAGACTTGGTCGTTCAACCTCAGTGAACACCATGACAGTACTCGTAGCGGCTCCCATCCTCACAAAGCAACGGAGGAACTTCCTCTTCGGAGCTATGAGCACTTTGGGATCGGCAGGGCCTGCCATTAGCTTGCTGGCGGTCGGGGCGAACTTTGTCGCAGATGGCTTTCCACGCCCATCGGTGATCGGCTACGCACCGATGCTTGCTTTGATTTTGGGCAGACTGTTGATACTTCCGGGGTGCTGTATTGCATTATGGGTCGCACTCCGACATTATGCACCGTTCTTTCCATCTGATCCACTCTTGATGCTGGTGATGTGTATTGAGTGCTGCACACCCACGGCATACAATTTGGTGACCGTCTGCATACTGAACGGTGTCGGTGCCAGGGAGTTGACTGCAGGTCTGTTTTACCAAAACATTGTCGCAATTTTTGCGCTCACTGCGTGGACGACTGTCATTGTGTCTTTTGTCATCTAGCAGCGACCATTGGTGGCATTGCCTGCCCACCAAGCTGCACATGTACAGATGCATACTCGTAGATGAGTATGACAGTATGAGGAAGAGCTGCCAGCAAATGGT